CAATATGTTGCTTTCAAGGTCTGGACTCTTAACCACCATGCTATGCTTTTCTCTTTTCTTGTTAATTAATTTATGTTATGTCCATGCTTTTGTGGAATTTTTAAGGTTTATAATGTTAGAATGCCTGGATTGCAATGTAATTGAAGCAATGATATTTTGCAGGTTAAAACTACATCCCCTAAGAAATACTGTGTGCGGCCTAATGTTGGCATTATTATGCCAAAGTCAATATGTGATTTTACAGGTAAGGAGATTTTTTGTATAAAAATGTTTTAGGATTTGTATATTTGGTTGTGTGTGCATGTAATGAATTAATTTCAAAGTGTAAGTGGCCTTTAATCTTGTAATGGCTCACAAGTAGTGATGTAAAGTTAATCTGGCCAAGGGACCCTACACGTTTCAATGGTTTTGCCATCTGGGAAAGGGAAAGGATAGGGATAAGGGTAAAATTTCCAACCTTTCAGGTGCTTTAAATGGAGGGCATTTTCCTCTGTAGTAGCTGGTTTCTATTGCATCTGATAATTCATGATTAATTTCCCGAGTACAAATCTATGCAGGAAGCAAAAATTACATACTTGACAAACGACAATCTTGACCTTTAGAACAATCTGCCATTGTGCTGCCTCTTTAACTGGAGAAGTGAATCAAAGCTAGTGATGCAACTTAGAACTAAAATATAGTACTGAATTTCTTGTATGATGTTCTTTATTATTTTCTCTACTCCCCTGCGCTATACTATATATTCTCACCCTTGGTTTTTCGTTTAGTTACCATGCAAGCTCAGCGTGAAGCCCCTCCTGATATGATATGCAAAGATAAGTTCTTAATTCAAAGCACGGTAGTTCCTGCTGGGACAACCGATGAAGACATTACATCAGCCACAGTAGGTGATCTTCTGCTCTAATTGTGCTTTATTTGATAATAGTAAGTCACTTTCGCTCTTTGTTTTGCTTGGCAGTTTGTCAAGGACAGTGGAAGATATATTGAAGAGAACAAGCTTAAGGTTGCCCTTATCAGCCCTCCAAATTCGCCGTATTATCGCCAATTAATGGAACAATAAATCATGGAATAGAATATGGATTTCAATACAAAAGAGCCAGCGGTCATAGAGTTGGGATTCTAGCACCACTACAGACGGTTAGATATACTTTGTCTACTTTTTTAGCCCTTATCTGACATATGTATGTGTGATTGCTATATCTTTTAAATGAAATATATATTTTAATCTGAAAGTAGATGAGAATTTTTGTTTGAGTTTGAGATTTGACGAAACTTCCAATCCATTGGTGAAGCTTATACCTAATTTAAGGAAATTTTCAATGTTCTCTTCTCCTGCCAGGTTGCCAAGGTTTGAGGAGTCAAAGATGATAAATTTTAAGGATTTAAAACCAACAAAGGACATGGATTGGGAGCCAAGGAAGGATATTCTATGCGGAGGGTTTAAAGCCAAAGAAAGATGTGAGCTGAAGCAAAGATTAATTTCGTCAATAGCAAGGAGTTTAAAGCCAGCGGAAGATGTGGAATCAAAGCCAATCGAGGATATTCTTGATACTAAGGAATTGAAGTCAGTGAAGGAAAAGGATTTCAATGCATTTAAGGATGGCAAGGTGAAAACATTGAAGACTATGGAGGAGCTGAAGTTTGCCAAAGATGTGGAGGAAATGAAATCAAAAGTAAATGACCTTGAATCTACGCTTGGCGAGGTAAGTTTGTTTGTGAGACAAAGAATGATGTTTGGAACTGACAGTTTAAAATAAGGTTTAATTATATTTTGCCATCACTAATTTGCATCTGTTGTCTTGCCGCTTTATAAAGTTTCAGTAACTCTCGTGGTCATTTGCTTTTCAGGCTGAAGCTACCATTTCAAAACTGGCAGAGGAGAGGAGGCTAAGCACTCAAGAGAGGAAGATCTTACAAGAGGAACTAGTAAGTTTTTCTGTCTATGCATTCTTCATCTTGTAGATTCTTGTTATAGATTCCATATTGGTAGGCAAAAAGCCCCAACCAATTGAACATTTAAACCAATGGAAGTGCAATAAAATAATCAATTAATCACAAAAGATACAGTAATTTAATGTGATTTTATTTAACCGACTTATGTCTACATATGAAAAAAAAATTCATTAATTATAAAGAATTATAAACATACATCTAAAAATCTCACTCACTATTAATACTCATAAACCCTTTCAATCTCTTTTAATCTCATTAAATATTTTCAACCCAATTCGTTGTTGGGAGAAGAATCCGCACGAATTGGATTTTTTGAGGAACATATCGAGAGAGAATTGGATTTGGTTAGACAATGTATGGTTGGTAAACAGGGATCGATTTTTTAGCAAGGTACGGAATGTATCGTCAAATATTCAATATTATTCCACAAGATCTAGTTTCGTTCAAGTAACGGATTCTAGCCCATTGAAAGGATCTTCTGATCAATTCAGAGATCGTTTCGATTCCATTAGTAATGAGGATTCGGAATATCACACATTGATCAATCAAAGAGAGATTCAACAACTAAAAGAAAGATCGATTCTTTGGGATCCTTCCTTTCTTCAAACGGAACGAACGGAGATAGAATCAGACCGATTCCCTAAATGCCTTTTTGGATATTCCTCAATGTCCCGGCCATCCACGGAATGAAAGAAGCGGATGAATAATCATTTGCTTTCGGAAGAAATCGAAGAATTTATTGGGAATCCTACAAGATCCATTCTTTCTTTTTTTTTCTGTTATATGATCAGAACTTTATCTGGGTTCGAGGTCCACTGGAGATCAGAAATTGCTGAAGAAAGAACAAGATGTTTCTTTTGTCTGGATTAAAAATATTCTATTGAATTAGAAGAAATTGAGAGGGTATATGAGTATTAGTAGTGAGTGAAATTTATCAGATGTATGTTTATAATTTTCTACAATTAGTGAATTTTTTTTCTCATTCGTAAACATAAGTTGATTAGATCGAATCACGATAAATTATTATTTTTTTGTGACTAATTGATTATTTAATTGTGTTTTCATTGATTTAAATGTTCAATTGATTTGGGGGAGGGGGGGTTTGTCTAGGAAGTTGTATATCACAGGTTCAATCATGGACAGTAAATTTTCCTAGCCGCTTCCTTAGCGTAAACAGTGATGTCAGTTTTACAGGTGATTTTCTAGGCTTTTATCTCTTGAATTGTTAACGATGAATGCTAATCATGTATATGTCCTCAAATGTCTTCCCTTTGTTACTTTCTTAGAATAGGACAGTGATTTTTTTACCATGTGACAATCCTTTTGTCTTTAACATCTGCTAGTGGAAACTCTATATGATAGAATTCTGAATCAGCCACCAGAAACCAATTTTCTTTAAAGTTAAGGGACATAGAGCCAAAGGCAGTTTTATTAGATTGCAGCAACAGAATGTGTGTTTCAGTTATGCGAAACCTATTTAAATTATTGATAGTAAACTCCATCTCTTTGCAGGCGCTACTGAGGAAAAAGACAAATTTAAGAAGAGCTCAAGTGGGATTTCCTCTCCTATTTGTTTGTATGGTAGCACTCATCGGTGTCTTTCTCGGATACCTTTTGCGCCATCGATAAAGAACACTCCCATGTGATTCCATGTGAAGCCGTTACCAGCAACAGTCATACAAGGTTCGTCAATAGCCAGAAATCTAGAGTATAAATACTTCCCTGCCCATAGCAACTGCGCGCGATACTATAGGGACGGCAATAGAAGCAAAAATTTGCATGTAAAGGTTTGTGTTACATGTTTGGTCAAAAGGAAATGAAAAACAAAAGAGCTTAACCCCTAAAATAAGTAAATGTTTTCTTTTTTTGGTTCCAAAAATAACCTATACATAATACATACGGAGCTGAGGTAATTACAAAAAAAAAAAAATTGTGCCTGCTTCCCACCGGCTAAAAAAAATTTTCACATTTTTATTCATCTTGTTTGGGCGATGTCATTGACATTGAGGTGGATTATGTTGGCTCCCTTCTGTTGGGAAGCCAGTAACAAAGGGAACAAAACCCCGGCCACCGAAAACTGGGCTCATGAAGTTATTATCGAACTTGCGCCAGTAGTGATGAACAGTGTGCATTGGAGTCCTAAGAAGTGCGGGAATGTGGCCTGGTAGGTGAACTCTAGCTAGACTATCATCAAAGGAGTCCTGGCCACGTCCAAGAAATGGCACCGTAATCGATTTTCGAGTAGATGTGTCTGAGAGCATGCTAGGTGTTTCTTTGGAATGAGGCTGCAAGAACCTTATTAGAGGTTTGGTTATTTTACCAAAAAACTGAGCAGAACCAACTATATTTGGAGCGTTAATTTTAAAGCAAAACCTCAACGTTTTCAAAAAAATAATAAACAATAATAACAAAATAAAAAAAACTAAAAGTTACCGAATCATTTTGGATAATCAACATCATGCGGTAAGTCAGCATTCGTATTTCAGCTCCTTTCAACGTTTTTTTTTTTTAATTTACGAAAATAATTTGTGATTTTATTTAAACAACACGAAGTTTCGAGAGGCGAGCAAATTCGAAGAGGAAGCTTTGCTAAACCAAGAAAGAAAAAAGTTAATACAAAATTCCTGTGTTTCAAAATTTTTGCACGTGAATCGTCGACTCTCCCACCAATAAAAACTTTGCTTTTGATGGGAGAGAAATCAACAAAAGAGAGAACGTTCAAATATAATGCAGCTTTTATGATCAGTACCGTTTGATTTTCGAATGATTTGTTTCAGAGTGAATCGCGTGGCTTTGAATAATGGTTTAATGTGATACTGGGTGTAGGTGAATATGGTAGTTAAGAGACGGAAATAGGCCTGTCTTTTAATTAATTAATATTAATGATAAAGAAACCCTAAGCCCAATTTAATTTTATATTGGCAATAGGGTCTAATATATGAGACTTTAAAGATTGTTTACTTTTGTAATGGCCCCAAAATTTTTTATTTTGGGCCCATTAAAAACTACTATATCAAAGACCGAGTTTACGAGCTCAGATCGAAGAGATCAGACCAGATCCATCCTCGCCCAAAAAATGGCCTTCCTTCTTTATTCTCTCTAACCCTTTTATTTTTTGGTTTTTTCCCGCAGGCCGCAACCCAAAATCCATTTTTTGCTTTTGTCAAGTTTTCAAGCTTCAGTTGGGATTTTTGATTATTTAAAAATCTATATTTCTAAATTCTAATTAACTAGGGTTTTTTTTCCCCCAATTTTCACTCTATTAACTACAAAAATTTTACGTTCCGATTTTTGTTCTGTTAACATTAACTCTTCGTGAAGAAGAAGAAGAAGAAGAAGAAGAAGAAGAAGAAGAAGAAGAGGAAGGACTGGAGACATGGGTGCACAGAAAAAGGGTGCAACCGCTAGGGTTTCAGAAGACCCAGAGGAGCTGGCGCGTAATCCATTGCAAGCCATTCTCTTAGCCGATAGCTTCGCCACCAAGTTCCGTCCAATCACCCTTGAACGCCCCAAGGTATCCTTATGATTATACGTATTTCGTATTCGTATGCGTATGCGTATGTTACTCACTTTTTGTTAACATTTTTGGTTTAATTATAAAAATTGTTTCTTTTGTTGAAGGTGCTATTGCCATTAGTGAATATTCCGATGATAGATTACACACTAGCGTGGCTTGAATCCGCGGGAGTGGAGGAGGTTTTCGTGTTCTGCTGTGCTCATTCGAAACAAGTGATTGATTATTTGGAGAGTTCTCAATGGTCTTCTCAACCTAATTTTTCGGTTCAAACCATCGAATCTCACAATTCCATCAGTGCTGGCGATGCTTTGCGTTTGATTTATGAACGCCATGTGGTAATGTTGTTGTTTTTCTTGTATCTTTTCCAGTAAATGAAGAGTGTGTTTTTGATTTCACTAAGAAATATGTTAATAAGATTAATGCATATTACTTGAAATTAAATACTGTCTTAGTAATGAAGAACAAGCCTCTAGTTAAAATGTTGAATAATATTTTGTCCATGTCGACATACTTATTTTTGAGTATTAGGAGGTTGGTTAGTTGGGTTCTATTGTTTGTAAATGCTGGAAATGGCTTGTTTGCTTCCTTCTTGTTAAAGTATTGTGTATTAATTATGTCATTTTGTGTGCTGATATTTTGGGTATGACTCCACTAGTTGCGAAATCTGCTATCCAAAGTTGTTCAAATTTAAAGAATTACCTGACCAATTTGTTCAAAGGTGTTTCTGGAGAAACAAATTATAGAAGCAAATGTCTAATGGATACCAAATTAAACAACACTATGGTAAAATTGTTAGAATGCCAAAATCCATATGAAATAGAAAACAGGCTTATGTTAAAATTAGAAATTGGATTATCATTACAACTTTGACATGACTTAAACACCCAAGGAGTTTGGTACCAGCTTGCCTCATCTGTCATGTCTGGGTCCTGGGTTTTTGTTGCCTAGGCTATTCAGATGGATGAGTTTTGGACTTGGGAGCATTGAGCTGTTGATCATTGCGCATCATGGGTTGCCTCTACTGAAATGTGACCTGGTTATTGCCATTAATATTTTCACAATTGTTCCTGTAGGAAGTCAATTCTTTTTTAAAGTAGACAAGTTTTCAATATAAAGGAAACAGGGACCACATTACTAGAGTTCTTTTTGGTTGAATTTCATTTTTTGGATATGTTTAGATCTTTTATAGAGTTCATAGTTGGAATGCTGTTTTTTTTTAGATTTTTGGGAATTGATTATCTCATGTTTGGATCTTATTTACGACAGCCATGAATTGGAGTTTGTTTCACTCAATACCTCTTTTTTTTTTCTCCTTATCTTTTCAGATACATGGAGATTTTGTTCTTATTAGTGGAGATACAGTGAGTAACATGTCACTTACTCAGGCACTTCAAGAACATAAAGACAGAAGGAAAAAGGATGCTAATGCAATAATGACCATGGTTGTTAAACAGTCAAAGCTGTCTCCATTCACTCAGCAGTCTCGACTTGGAACTGATGAACTCTTTATGGCTATAAATCCTGACACAAACAACTCCTATGTTATGAGGAGGCAGAATATTCAAAAGGGTTTATATCTCTTGATAAAATGCTGATAGCTGATAATCCTTCTATCGTTCTGCACAACGATAAACAGGTTCCTTCTTCAAATCATCCATTGAAATTCTCTGGTTACTTGTCAGACTACCTATCATGCAATCATTATTTTTTTTTTCACACACACATGCTGAAAAAGGAAGCTATTAATATGTTAGTGACAGTTTTGATCTTTTTGTGGTTATGATGCAAATCTTCACAAATTCTAGTTGCTTTTCTTGGTACTGAACAAAATTGTTTGCAAATAATGATAAGATGGATATAATGTGTGTGAACTTTTACTTGGTTGGCAAGTATTTGATGCCATAAAATTCTTGCTTATTTTAATTTATAGGTAGTTGTCAATATCTCTGTTTCTTTGCTATTATCTACTTGTTACATAGTTTGCTTATCTCCAATGGCTGTTTATAAAATCACTTTGTTCTTCATTAATTATTTACTCTGAAAATTTATTACCTTTTATTGTAGACAGTCTTTCTCGTTTTTCTCTGTAGGTTTGTATTTGATCACCGCTAAGATCATTGATTCTCCCAGAATCAGAAAGAACTTTAAGCCTTGACTTCAACCTAGGTTCATTTTAAGTTTTTAACTTTTTTCAAGCTACATGACTTGAAACCTTTTGCTACTACCTACAGTTTCTTTCAGTTGGTGACATGATTCAATACACCAAATTCTTTATATTCTTTAGAACAAATTACCTGGATAAAAGTTAAACATAAATGATATATGCTATTTTTTATTCTGATAATTGTTCACTAAATAATAAGGGTTTGCTTTTGCAGGATTGTTATATTGACATATGCTCTCAAGAAGTGCTAAGTCTTTTCACAGACAATTTTGACTATCAACATCTGCGACGTCATTTTGTAAAGGGATTGCTGGTTGATGATGTACATGTTACATATTATACACTTTTATCATGTTGTTTAAAAGAATTCGCTGATAACCCGCTTGCCCTTAATGAAACAAAAACATGTATATGCATACTCAAAGGCAAAGCTTAAATAAAAAAGACAAAAACGGGGAGGTCCTTATACACCCATATCGTGCATAAGCATGACTATATGATAGCTGGCCCTTGTGGTCAAGTGATGTATGATTGTCTGCTAATCTGCAGGAAGCTTTATTCTAAATCTATGCATTGGAATTTACAAACCAGCTTCTTTTGTTTCTTAACATACATCATAATTCATAAACTATCATGCTTTCCTTTAATCATACATTTTTTATGCAGGCATCTTTGCTTATTTTACCGTTACTTGGGATAGGGGAACATGGTGTTGCATGCGTCTTTATCAAGAATGAATTATTTCCTCTTTCCAAAATGTAGGCATATGTAGTCATTGCAATGCTCATTACTATACAAGTTTTTTTTTCAGTTTTAATTGGTATATCAGAACCCCTAGAATACTGATAAATACAAAAATATAAATATCATTTAAAAATGACAGGGTAAGAGTTAGAAATTTGGCATGAAACACATATGTTTATCATTGATGTGTATCTTAACATCATACTACGCTTGTAACATTCTAAAATATAATATATGGTATTTGATATAGTATTTGGTGATGCAGTTATTAAAAGTTGACATCTTATGATAAACCAGAACATAGAATTGAAGAAATATTCCAATTGCTATTTGCTTCGTGGCTGAATATTTTAGGACTTTGTATCATGTTGCTTTCTGGTTCTATTTTGTTGCTGCAGATTATGGGTTACAAGATTTTTACTCATGAAATTCGCTCAAGTTATGCGGCTAGGATAGACAATTTTCGAAGCTATGATGCCATTAGCAAGGACATAATTCAGAGGTGGACTTATCCATTTGTGCCAGATATACTCTGTGGAAGTTCTGCAATAAAAGTTGAGAGGCAGGGAGCTTACCGAGCATCAGGTATAGATAGAAAGGAATTAATGGTTATTACATATTTGACTCCAATAAAAGTTTCATGCTTTAAACATGTAGCTTTGCATCACTAATATCTCTACCTCTTTGATTTGTTTTTCTTCAGGAATTTCTCTGGAAGTGGTTTAATTAATGTTTTCTTCTTTTTTTTTTTCAGATGTCACACTGTCATGTTCTGCACAAATAGGTTCATTCACTGTCATTGGACAAGGCACCAAAATAGGGAACAACACAAAAGTATCTCATTCTGTTATTGGAGAAGGGTGTACTATTGGATCAAATGTTACTATAGAAGGCTCCTATGTATGGAATAATGTTACCATTGAAGATGGCTGTCGCTTAAGGCATGCGATAGTATGTGATGGCGTGATAATGAAGTCAGGAGCAGTTTTAGAACCTGGTGTTGTTCTATCTTTCAAGGTATGCATCCTTTGAAACACTCTAGACCCTTTTTTGAAGTGTCAAATATTATCTTTGCATCATGCCTCAAGATGTATACTGGTTCAAATATTAATAAATGTGTTAGACTAAAATTTATGATATGTTAGGGTAATATTGATATGAGCTGTCTCACAACTGAAGTAACTTAAAACTTGTGAGTTTTTTTGGCTTGTTTTCATGCTGGAGCTAACAACTTCTTGCTGCTATTGAAACATCAAGTCAACCAGATTTAATCTATGGGATTTAAAACATTTTACTATATACTAAAAATCAGCTGTACCTCAGACGTTAGTAATTGCTATAGTCATTTCAGTTATTTTTACTTTCTTGCCTTTATGTTTCATCCTGATTTAATGCAATTTCCTGTCTTATTTCAACCATCAATCTCATCCCCATCTTGCCCGCAGTCCTAGCTAGACCCTTAGAGTATTTTTATTTTTAAGTCTGTCTTGTAACCTGCCTCATGGCCATTCTCACTTTTCTTTCCAGGTCCTATGCTTAAGTGAAGCCAGAGGTTTGAAACAGTATGCATAATTTAGATCCTTGTGTTGTTCTTTTTCTTATTTATCCTTAATTACCACATTTTCTCTGGTTAATAATGCTTTTTGTATGGTTCAAAGTTATTGTTCTCTGCTTATTAGTTGATTGCAAGAGACCTGAACGTTTCATTTCTCCAGGTTGTAGTTGGACAACAGTTTGTTGTTCCTTCGTACTCAAAGGTTTCTTTACTTCAACAGCCAACCCAGCAAGATAGTGATGAGGAATTGGAATATGCTGACAGTAGTAGTGGCACTGTAGAGCTTCCATGTAAGTTCCTAGACATATATATATTCCTAAAGTCTGATTTGTTTTTTTAAATTTTTAAGGTATTTGGCGGGTACTGTAATACTCAACCTTGATTTTATTTAAACATAGTATTTGAAGGTCGTATCTATTGATCCTCTTTATATCATTGAAATCTTATCTAACATACTATATGTCTCGAATCTGTAAGGCATGATTAAGGGCTGGTACTTTATGGTGATTAATGAGGAAGCTTTTTGGATATCGTGCAGGTTTATGGATTTAGACAAATCAAATTTCTTCTTTAAGCTATTCTTTCTTTGGGCTGTGTACATTTTTTATTTGTCTATATGTTTCGCTTGTCTCTCTTTGCTGTCTATCCTACATATACTTCTAACTGGTGTCTAAGAAATATTGCTCAACTTTTTTTGCAGATAAAATTTTCAATTAATTGCTAACTGATAAGCAACGAGAGCATTATGCGCCTTTTATCTTAACAAAAAATACTATAAAAGTTGCAATGGTAGTTAGACTCAACAGCTTATTTTGAAATTTAATTAAAACTAACATTCTCCTATTCTTTATCTCCTTTAGAGTTCTTTCTCTAGTATACATCCCCTGTATGAATTTTCTCTGTAATAGAGAACAAAATAAAGAGCAATCTGAGACACATGTAACCAAGAGAAAGGGTGAATGCAATTGGAATTGGTTGGATATAAATCTATTGAAGTCTAAGAGAAGAATACATGTCATGCTGAAAGAAATTCTATTGAGTGGTGGTGTTGAGTATTTGCAGTTAGAGTATTGTAGGTGCTGTGTGCATGATGTAAATGTGGTATGTTATGGGCAGCATAGGCTTAGGAATGTGATAAGGTTTGGTTGAATGGGAGAAAACTAATGATAGAACAAAAATTGCTTTGGCTGATACTTTTTGAGAATGATTTGATTGTGTCAGATTGTTGATATTATATATATACATATATATATGTTGTTTGTCCTACCTTTGACAAGAGTGAAGTTAGTTGACTTGAGTCTAATTTTTGTCGTTTGCTACGTCTGATTTTGAGAAGGTATATGCATTTCTATTTTTAGTTGTTTCCTTGTTTGTTCTATACTTTACATGGTTAGTACCACCTTTCTTTCTCTTTTTTCTGAGTTATAAAGTATAGTTGCACATGGGCTGTGGAGATGTGGAGTCTCGCTTTGCATCTAAGCACATAGAAATGAAATTTAGCTCAATGTTTGTTATCGTTTTCGGGCGGGGTTCTTTATATTTCAGCACATAACTCTTTATATGTGCATTTTTTTTTGTGGTTTAATGATTGGTAATTTCTGCCTGCAATCTATATTCTTTCATACTTGTGGTAAGTACCAGTTATCTTCTAGAAATGACAGATCTTCATTATTGTATCTCCTTATAGAAGTTAACAAAGCGATTACTGGTGCAGCGGATAAATTGAATGGGGACATTGGATCTGATTTATCCAAGACACGATATGGGCCTGTTTCTGAGGTTAGTTCTGACATTACTTTTAGGGCTTTGTTGCGGGTTTTGCTTGCAAATAGGTGCAGAGTGAATATGCGGAAAGTACGAATTAATAATGCCATTCAAGAGTATTATGAAATAGGAAACAAAATTTTGTATGATATATCTTTGTTCATATTTTTAAATAGCATATGAGGTTGAGTATGAATGCATTATATGACAAACTTTTGTTCATATTTTGCAATTGTTTATGGTTATCAGCTTGGTACCGGTGGAGTTGGTTATATTTGGTCAATCATCGAAGGAGCACATGATGAGGAATGGAGGCATTCAGTTGCACCTATTCCCACAGATAAACTGGCTAAGATAATGCTAGATAAAGATGAGGATGAGGAACTGTTAACTCAAGATGGGAATGTTCTCTCACCTTCAGGAGAGCTGAAATCTGATTCTGATGGTAATGGTTCTCAAGATGATGATAATGAAGGCTCTAGAGATGACCATGTCTCCTTTGAGAAAGAGGTAATGTGTTGACTGGATTCCTGGTGATATTATGTAGTACAGAGAACTGTTTACGGTTTCAACTCTGGTTTTGCAGGTGGAAGCTACCTTTCTAAGGGCTGTTCATGAAAATGTTAAAGTAGATCATGCAGTCTTAGAGGTTAATGCACTTCGGTAAGTTATGTTCATTTTAATTCTCTAAGCAAACCAGGGCCATAAACCTATTTGGTATGTTATGGACTAATATGTTGCCTAACTTGTTTCCTGCCATTTCTTCAGATTGTCTTACAACATGGCATCTGTGGACTGTGCTGGAGCAATATTTTACTCAATGATGAAATTGGCAGTAGAATCTCCACATAGCTCAGCTAGTAAGTGTATTATTAATGTATTCATTATGTTCTCTTTTCGTTTATATATATTTTTTTATGGCCGGTCTTGTAGCACTATCTTTTCACTGCATTGATACAAAGAAACCCTTTTTGTAATTTGACCATGCATGTGTAAATGATTGATGTCAATTAATATTCACACAGATGCGTAAATGTACACACAAGTAGACTTGTAGCATCCATTTTTAGGGACCTAAAAACTGTAAAGCTGTTGTAGCAGTTATGGACATTGAGTTGTTGCATCTAATAAATTCTGATCTAACTCATCCATCTAATGAAGCCCTAAAATTACAGCCTTTTCCAAAATATTAGAGTACCTTTAACCAATTCCTTCTTGCCATCCTATGTTATAGTTAAGTCATTTATATTCTTAATCCTTCAGTTATGTACAATGTTCACCGTGGACCAAGTTTGGTGGTTGCATATTGCCATCCTATGTTATATTTCAGACGTATGACTCTTACTGGTTCATGGATGTTTGTTCAAAACAACAATGATGATAGGCCTTTAATCTTCTCAGAAGTTGTGTAAAATCTCTGTTGACCGTATAGTGCTGTTTCTTGATGATTTTGATTGTTCTGCTAGAGTGGCAACACTGGATGGGTGGAATCATATATCTGTCTTTCTGGATTTAACGTAAAAATTATTTGGAAAATGTTGAAACTGTCTCCCTCGTGTTAGAGCAAGTGTTAGTCATTGAGTGGAAATACCAAGCAGCATGGGACGGGTGGACGCTAGATGGTTTTCCTAACTATTGTTTACTTTACCTATATCGTCTTTCCTGTGTTACTGCTGAATGGTTGAATTATTTCAGATATGTATCTGCATAAATTTCTGTACTTCTGAATTGTCTATGAACAAGCATATATCTTGGCTGCTGTCAGTCCTTTTATGCTCATTCCCACTGTAAAAAGAAAAGAGAAATCACCTGTGGATTACTTTATGTTTTATTGTTGACATCAATCTCCATGCTTAACATGATTGTAACTACTAACTAGTTAGTCTTCAATCTATTGTGTAGGTGAATTGCATAGAAGTGCTGTGGATGTAATCACAACATGGCAAAAACTTTTGAAGTCTTTCCTGCATGATATAGATGAGGAGGTTTGTGTTGTTGATCTGGTGGAAATTTCCATATTTTTTATCTGATTAAATATTAATTATAAGCTTAAGGGAATAGTACTTATTTTGGACTGCTACATCTAATTTCATTCTTAGTATCATTCAGTGGATAGGTTGGTGACTTCTCATTTTTATACCATGTCAGAATCAGTTCCTAGAAATGCATACTTTTCCTATTAAAGGAACTTAGATACTTTTGTCTATATTACAATTTTGTTCTAAATTTTTTTATGGTATTGCCTAACAGATTGAGGTTATCTTGAAATTTGAAGAAATATGCCTGGAATCTGCCAAGGAGTTCTCCCAATTGTTTCCACAGGTATTTCTAACTATATACTTAGATATGGTAGGGTTTAAATGTGCAGAGGGAGATTGGTTGATAAGATCCGGCTAGTAAGGTATTTGTCATAGTCAACATTCAATAGTGTTTATGGTATAAACCCGATTTGAATAATCGAAGAGTGATTAGTCTGGGTAGTAAAGTAGTATGGTGCAGACCTAGAAATGGCAGTAAATCTGCAAGTTGGGTGATTAGTCTAGCTTCTGTACCTTTTTTAGTGATGTTTAAGATGTCTTAATAGGTTGAAGCTGAAATTTATTGGGCAATTGCCTTATATTCATGTATGTGTATGCTTCTTGACTTGATAATGCAGCATGAGACCCAAAGTTTTAGACAAGAGAATGGGGCATATGAGTTTGAATATGTAGTAGCATCCTCCTCATCTGATTCTTCTTTCACAGATTTTGCATCTTCTATATGATAAAGAAATTCTACAAGAAGATGCTATTTTGAGGTGGGCGGAAGAGAAGGAAGGGGCAGATGAGTCAGATAAAGTGTTTCTTAAGCGTTCAGAAAAATTTATACAGGTAAAAAAAAAAAAAATCGATCGCTCTGTTTTCTACCCATTGTTTATAAGATTGTGCATCCATCTTCTAAGATTGTCAAATGAAACATCATTGCTTTGCTCATGTATCCCCTTTTATTACATATTTATGGTTTTCGTTGCAGTGGTTGAAAGAGGCAGAAGAAGAGGAAGAAGACAACGAAGAGTGAGACGAGAGCATATGATTCAGGACTGGGTGCTTTTGTCATGGAATTCTTGCCATGGTGCCTTTTTTTTTTTTTTTTTGCAATTTTGTTTCGTGTTGCTAATAAAATCTCCCAATTAGCTATCGCAAATGTTGTAATGAAAAATGCAATAACAGTCCGACTTTATAATCGCCCATCCTGGTGGCGGCATTTCTCTCTCTGTCTAGAAATGAAATGAAGATGAAGAAATTGAACAATGCATAAAAGTTGTGTATTTATAAACTTAACTTGAGTAGAAGCTGAGGAGCTTAATGGCTTAAGTTTTCCTGAAATTGCCTACATGGTTAATGGTGTTGGAGCAGTAAGTATAATGAACCATCTGCTATTCTTTCAAGTTTCAACCCAACGCTTCAAAACTTGAAGTAGTTGTGTGTAAACCGTGCATTGTTTTTAACCTGCCTTGTTTCTTTAAACGGGAATTGGCAAAAAGTGGCCCAATACACACATGGTAGTTTATGATTGTTATTTACATTATACTTTTAAGGAAATATATGTAAGTATATATATATATATTTATATATATCTGACTTTACATTTTGAGAAGATAATAAATTTTCACTTTGATAATTATTGATATGAATATATGAAAATCTGATGATTTTAATTCATAAGTAGATTTTGATAATATAAACAATTTTTCAGGGATGATTTGGTTATCATTTTTTCTTTTTTCTTTCGAAACTTAGAATGTGAAAGGGTAAAGTAGGAGTAGAGTAAAATATTTTTTATCTTTATTCTTGAATTTTTATATTATATCAATTTTCGTATTCATACTTCAAAGATATTTTAAATTTATCATTATCTTTGTCCTCATGGATATTTAATGAGTATGAATAATTTTTATATCTGTAATTTTAAAAAAAATAAAAATAAAAATTTATTTTTAAATATTTTTTATTTTTATCTTATATATTTAAATAATTTTTTATTAATGTATATTTTTTCAATATCATATATTAATTCTAATTAATTTAAAAAAATAATTTATATTATTTAATAAAAAATCTATTTACTAAAATATATAAATATATATAAGATAATGATACAGAACAGGTATTTTATTATTCATTTTTATCTTTATATGTAAAAAATTTAAAATCATATTATTTTTATCTTTATATTTATAATATAATATATATTTTTATTTTCATTTAAATAAAAAATTAAATTTTTTAGTAAATATGAGTAAGATTCACATTTCTACCAAAACCAAAAGTCTCAGCGAGGAACGCATCCACGTAAAAGCATGTGCTGGCGGTGCCTCCACCGAGTTCATAACTTTTTTTTGGATTTATTATAAAAAATCTCAAAGGTTTTGAAAATTCAAAATTTTGCCCCCATTGAAAATTTTTGTTCTCATATTTATCCCACTAAGTTAAGATTAATACAAGAAAATTTTTATTGTTTATCTAATAATTGAACATTGAAACTTTAAGTGCTAAGAAATTTTATTATAATATATATTATATATTTTCAAGTTTGTAAAAAATAAAATAAATTACTTTTAAAGAATTTAAAACTGTTGAATTTCAAATTTCTCCTAATAATTTGTTTAGATTGAAAAAATATGATTTTATAAGGGTAATGAAATTTGAAGTTTGCATTACTAAAATGGTTTAACCATTTTCTAACAACGAAAAATAACATATAAAATATGAAGTAATAAAAATAAAAATAAAAAATTATCTTTAACTAATATAGATTTATCTCTTCATTTTTCTTTTCATTTTATGTAATGAAAGAACTATTTTTTATTCTCCAAAATATAATGAATAAAAATCAAATATTTGTTTATTAATAGAAAATGATAAAACTAATAATTAAAAGTAAATAATAAAATTAGATACGTTAATTTTTATTTCATTATTTCACATATTATATCTATCTTTAAAAATTTTGCAAGTAAAACTTTATTAAATTAATATATTTATATATATGTGTTTATTATAAAAGATGATTTATCTAAATAGTGTTTAAGTATATTCGAAAAAATCATATAATTAATTATGAAAATGTTATTTCTATTTCAAAAAAAAATTATACATGCTAATTTTATTTGTAATTTATAAAATTAATTTGTATTCTAATAAAAATAATTTTAAATTAACTTTAAATATGTATTCCCACTTATCAAATCTTAGCTCCGTCCTCATATTGACCGATCCAAATCCTCCAAAACCTAAAAAGTTTGAAGCTTAAATAACACAAAGACAGCCCAAACAAACAACCCCAAATTTTCACTTTGCTTTGGGCCATTTTCTCACCTGCAAAGGCGGGTCCAAAAACCACATGGCAGCCAGCTAGTGTAGATATGTCCCATAAACCTCTGACTCTCGTCCACATTCAACCAAAACTCCCCTTCTGTAAAACCCCTTCGACCTCAAATCTTCCACTTTCAGGGGCTCTCTTTGAGGGGTTTTCGAATTGGAATTTGTTTCCAAAACACTAAAAAGATTAAAAGAAAATAAATTCTAAGAAAAAGGCAACAAAAAACGCAATGGCTAATTCAAACCCTCGAAGCGATTTGCGTTGCCATCACTGCGCTGGACCTCTTTCCAAAGAGATGGTAATAATCTTTACTTACATCTTTTTTATTTTCCTTTGTTTATAATTTTAAAAGGTTTAAATTTTTAATGGTGTAGGAAACAAGTGAGTGGACTGTTGCTCCCCTTGTCAGGGATAGCTTTTCTATGGTAAAATTATCTCTTTTTTCTTTTATATATTGCTTCTTTTTTTTTTAATTGCGAGGATTTGGGATTTGTTTTTGCCGATTTTCTTTAGCCTTTTTTGGCCTTTGCTTTGATGGTTTTTTGGATATTTGGGTACTTTTTTCAGTTTAATGGAACTGGGTTTACATTATTACTATGTTCTTGCACTTTTTGCTTCATCTTTTATTTTGGGTGTTTCTTACTTTGGAGGATAGCTTAGTTTGTGTGTCTATCGTTGTTATTTTAGATTGGCTCTGCTGTTGGTGGCACTACGAGCGCTTTCTACGGGTTCAACCATGGTATAATCATCTGTTTCTTCTTTTTTCGTTTGGTAGATGTAGATCAGTTCATATGACTTGATTATATTGCTGTAGCTTAAGTTTTTATGTATCTCTCTTGGCTTCTTCAATGGACTATCTTTGTGCAATGACTACTATTAACTTTTGCCTTTTATTAAGGACTTGCTATTAGGGGACAATAGTTTCCATGTTGCTTCAGAAGAGTCAACTTCCAAATAAGTCTTTTGACATTTACTGTTTTCTGTCAAGGGTTGGTTTTTAAATATTGCAACACCTTGTTTAACTTTAAAATTGAATCATAGTTTAACCAGACTAACTTGAAATTCAATCCCTGCATGCTCCTGGGAGTTAAACTCAGTGGTGTTTAAAGTTCCATGTTGTAGATTCTATTCAAGGTCATTTATAAAATATGTTTCACTTGTCCTAACTGTGGAATATAAATCATGAGAATTATTCTGTTGGTATATTGCTATTATCTGTTTTTGCATTTTGTTATTCATAGTTGTTTCTTTTTTATGTCTATATGACATACTCTATAACTCTTATCTGTCATTTGAAAAGTTATTTTTTGATGCCCCACATGTAGAGAATGGAGTTTAGTTCGTATTTCTGACTTGTATTTTTTTGCTGCAGTGATGCCAATGGTCAGGAGGTGGGTAAAGGGACCCATGTGGGTGCATTTCCTCATTGGTGTAAGTTCTTTTTATGCCAAATATCTTGGTTTATCAATGTATTGTTTTGGGTTGTTTTGCAATCTTGGTCATTTTGCTTGAGCATAGCTTGATATTTATTTGACTTAAATTATTGTTCTCTCCCCCCTTTCTCCCTAATAAACTGTCTAGAGAGAAAATGAGCTAATTGAACTTACCTTTTCTCAGAAGTTTTTCAAGGTTATGGAGGCTGTTCCAAGATCTCTAAAGTGTTACTCTCCTCCTTTGTTGTGCTCATCAACAGTTCATTTTTGAACTTGTGGTCTGCAAGTTGGTTTCAATTTGATGCATTTTAGAGCCCTTCCCTCTATTATGATAACTAATAAGAAGTAAACTATCCTTGTTTGGTTGCTGCATCTTGTTGGTAATTATGCCCAGGTCAACGGGTGATTACTACCCATTAATGCTTTGGACAAGTTGTTTGTAACACATTTTCATGTTCATGTGACGCTTCCTGCTTGTCAAGAACCGATTGGTTTATGGCTGGTCCTACTGGTTCACTACTCACCTTCCAACCCTTCACTCCATAAATATCATTTATGCTAAACATTCTGTATTGCATGCTATGCTCATATTTTCTCAATGGAATGGGATAACTTACATAATTCTTCTATATTTACATGCAGGCACCACCTGTGATAGTGTTCTCTTCTGCTTGTGCAGGGTTGGCCGGTTAGAATTTTTCCCTTCACTGGCTATCTTATGTGTTTGTGACTTAAATGATTCTAGACTTTCTTAATAATACTATTTTATCACCAAAAAGGAGCTACAAAATAATAATTATTATTTTGTCTTTTCATGTTTGCCTAAGCTCCTTTGGTATCATATTTACTTTTGAATATATTTCTGTCAGTAGGTTGCATCGCTTGTAAATTAATGTTTCTTAATTGAGACGTTAAAGAGTATCTTACATAATTGTGTACCTCATAAGATTTCCTGATATTCTCCTCCCAAAATATTTGAAAAACATGCTATATGATTGTCATGGGAACACCTTGGTTCTTCACTAAACCTAGTTGTGAAAAGGCAATGGTAATACTCTAATGTTTTACCTTCCTTTGCCTGAAATCCACCTTCAAAAAAGGTTTTTTCTTTTAAAAAGTCTTCTTCTTTGACCACTATGATCAATTTACGCGCAATCTCAATTTGTCCATGATGAATTTACATTTGGATCCAAGGAACTGCTTTCCAAAATTTGACAATCTGTTGTAATTGTTTCCTTATGCTCTTGTTGGCTAAATAATTTGTGGCTGAGCCTAAGAGTAAAGCCTTTCTGGAAAAGATACCATTGACGAGTTTGCTTTATTGATGGAACCTTTTTCTATTATTCTGGCATTTGCATTGGGAGTATGTATTATTCATTCTCTCAAAAGATACGATTATAACACCATCCTTGTGAAATCTTGCTTCATCAAATTATGTTTGATTTGGACTTATGGTTGCCGCATGACAACTCTGATGATTTCTCTCTTGGAATCCACAGGCGGTGCTGTTCCAGCTCTTGCGCAACTTGCTTCTACCTCATACCATGCTGCATCGTCGTCTTCTTCGTTACCTCCATCTTCACAGGAAGATAAGATGCATAAGTCCAGGACTTCCTCCACTTTGTAATTACACATATAGCATCTATTAACATGTATATTGCATTTCAGAGAGGGAGATAAAGGTTTGCCTGTGAAGAAGCCCATACGTTGAAACGTTGTAATGTTTCAAGACACAAGATTTCCTCTTCTGGGTCATTTTGTAATGTAGGTTTATGTTGATATTTAATCATTTTCTGCTATGAATACCATGTGTTATATAATAAAATAGTTTTTTGCATTTTTTGACTCAGTTCTTCGCATCTATCACCGCATTCACTGTGCATTTAGATGCATAGGATTTCTTTGTGGCCATTTATAGATATAACAGGTACTTCGCTTTTGCATCATAATTTAGTTGAAGACCCATGTTCAAGAACTCTAGTGCTCAAGTAGAAAATGGAAATTCTGAGTCCGAAAGATCCAAATTGACAAGTCAATTTTAGATATGACATGTAACACGAAAAAAAAAAAAAGGTGATAGTTTAAAATTTTGATAAATTAATATATGAATTTAATAAAAATAAAAAATATGTTTTATATTTATGAATCAATACAAATTATGATATGTTAATTTTTGTGTTTTACAGATGACAGATCGGAGATAAACATGACATTGATGCATGAACTTTTATGTCTATGAACCACGTCTTGGTTGCACCCTTAACGATTTGGTAGACTGATTAGATTTTTATGGCTTCCAACCATTGATACCTTCTTTGTATCTTCGTTTTGGTAGCATTAATAAACAAATTTGATTGAGTGTTGGATGACAATTTCACATGAGTGTTAAGTCATTGCAATTTCATGAAACGAAATATTCAATCACTTCATCCCATCATTTTAATAAATTTTCAAGAGTTTATTCATTCAATAGATAAATAAAATATATTATTTTTCTTTGTATTTTTGGAATAAAACAAAGTTATAACAGCAGCAAAAAGACCACCTCAATGAAGCATAGTATGCAGCAGAAAAATTTCAAGCTAGGCCATAAATACTTGACTTAATCATCTGAACGAAAACGTTTTCAATTATCAGCTGTCTGAGCTGCACTTGCCCTTCCTGGCTTGTCTGCTGATAAGGGAGCTGAAGTAGAATCACTTTTGGGAACCTGCTGGTGGAGCGGTTAGGATCATTCTCTGCAACTATTGTAACAAAAGATCCCAGCCAGGTCCCATCAGGTAATCACCAAAAGAGCTCGCTGCACTATGACTTGGGTTTTGTCCTTGGTTTAAACCAAATGAAACTTGAACAATCAAGGCCTCATCATTGAATGGATCAAAGAAGATCATCTACCACTCCCATCTCTTACCATTTTCAGAATTCTCTGATTCAGAAGCAGTTGCAGTATCCTAAGAGCTGAAGATGAGCTTCTTCTCCTCCTACTAAGCAAGGATTCAAATTCTCTTCCTAGTTCATCATCCAATGCATCCTGTGGGTTGCTATCATTGATTTGCTCATAGCCTGTGATATGCAACTGCAAAACCACCAACCAAACCAAGCAAGGTTGCAGCCGAAGGGGAAAGAGTGTTCACTGATCCTGGAGCAATGCCATTAGCGTTGGAGTAACGTCTTATGCTGGTCATCTCTTCAACAAATCCGGAATCACAAAATGGGCATCTGATCTCAGTCTCTGTCGTTGGATTCACCATTTGAGAGTACATGTAACACCAATACCTACTTACCATCCTATCCCCCATCTTTCTGTACACCTTCAAATTCACAAACAAAGAAAAAGGGCTAAAAGTAAGAGAACAATAAAGCAAATTAGAACAAGCTTCTTCCAACAGTGAAAATCCCTTTATGTTCCTATGTTTCTTCTGCTTATTTGAATACAAGGAAGCAAAATGTTTGTTCAAGGGGAAACGCAATTCAGTTCTTTTCCAATTTTGATTGAATTAAATATCCTATTCCCTTCATAATCATATGCAACAAATTACCTTGACCTTCTAATATACCAAAAAAATTTTAATGTCATGAAAAGGGAACATATGAATGCTTTGTTTCTTCTTGGATGTAAAACTAAGAAACAGCCCCATGTATGACTCTATAAAAGTAAGGGGGAAAAAGTCTGTTTCACAACTACTAAGAAAGATGTAAGAATGTGGAACATGTCAAAGGAAGCAGAAGACTATGAACAAGATTAAACTCGAATGGTTCAAAACATAATGTTGATCAGCAACTTATGGTTAAAGAAGAATAATACAATAATCCTTGGGGAAGATTGACATGAAGTATTGTTGCTTATATTATTTTCACAAACCAACTTGTACATTGTAAAGAAAAACAAGACAAAGAAACACATTAACTGAGATGTAAAGAGGGGATGTTTTTCTGGTACCATTCAGATAGAGGATGAGGGAATTGATGTGAATTATGACACGGAAAAGCTCATGAAATGGGTTTAGAGTCTCTTTTTTTCTTTAAATTTTTGTTTTTGTCATGGACATTTTTATTTCAATAGTTCTTTTACCAATCATTTTGTATGCTTCAAATTCCACACTATAGTTAATGTGTCAAGCCAGTTTCTCATTCAAACATAGAGCCTTTTTTTGCTTTTCTTTTAATGGGTATCAAGGAAATTTGTTGGTAGCATTTCATTCTGTACGAAGATAGCTCAGCACTTCTAATTGACTTTTGGAAAGTTGAAGTGTGATCTCCTTGCAAAATGACAAATGGCATGATGATGGGAAATTATTTCATTTCAGAAAAACGAGAATTAACATTAAATTTATAAATTACTCGTAAAAAAACTGCTGACAGTCAGAATCTCACCTCTCTCTTACAAACAATATTCACTGCTTACCAACTCAACCAAATTTCATGAAAAAAAAAAAGAAAAAAAAACTTTTTTTAAGTAAAATCTCTTCCCTGGACTCCAATTAGTTTGATGTTTGTATCGTTTATTGGGCTATCTTGGGCTTTAGACCTCCTTTTAGGTCTGGGTTTAGCCTCCTTTTATCTTGTATGGATCTTTCGACCCGATCACCAGCCCAAACTTCTTGGACATTTTAGGAATTTTAGTCCGGTAAACCTAGGGGGCTTCCACCACTATAAAACAGGATGCCGATGCCTATTCAACTATCAACTTGATCTTATCTGAGCAGAGAACTAGGGTCTCCCTTCTCTCTCAGCCGCCCTGCGCCTTATGGCGTTGCTGGTGGCTCTGCCTTCGGGCAGAAAGAGAGTGGGTCGTAAAGCCTTTTTGTTTTCCGCAGTGAAGACTGCCCGCAGTCAAGAGTCCTTAATGTCAGAAACTGAACATTGATGGGCGGTGATGGCCTCGCGGGCTGAATAACGAGTTAAAAAATTTTGGTATCATAATTTTTTGTGAACTCAATGGATGGAAGTCATGAAGATGTAAAACTTAATAAATAATGACGGGTCTTGGATGTCAGTTTTAGTACAAGAAGCTCAGATTTTATCTTGAAAACTATGCCGGTTTCTGAAAGTGTAATTAAATGGGTTTATGCCAAGAAACTCTTATTGTCTTCGAGGAATGATGCGGTTGGAAATTTTTTATGTTTCTTATGAATTTGGGCTACTAATTCAATGCTGATTCATTCAAATATTCACACATTTAGGACCTCAATGAAGTATTTTTCAAGCTTATTACTCTATATAAATGTTGCATAGAAGCCTGTCACTGAAAACAGACTGCAATCTTTTAAACAAACTCGAAATCAACGTACAAAGAACCTTACAAGAGAAAAGGTACATAAGGAACCTCAACAAGAACTAATTTTCTATAATGAGAAAACCTCTCAAACATCATCAGAAATAAGCTGCTATATCAAGACTTCAAGTCTGTTGAAAACAATGCTCTAATTGTTATTCCATCCGAAACGTGACTGAAGATAGGTAACCACATTCTTATCCAGTTGAAAAGCCTTGGCAAGAACATCAGGATTAATGGGTGGTTTTGATCCGAACAATGCATTTGGAATGGTAATCACACCAGGATTCTGACTGCTAAGACCAGCAAAGGCAACTGCATTAGTATTCCCTGTATTGAACTAGAAGTGAATTAGACAAATTGGGAAAATGAAAACACCTCCAGGGTTTAGGACTTTGGTGATGAGAGGATTAGTCGGGTTGGATGTAACAAAGCCAACATAGAGTGTGCCTTCCAGGACTACAAGGATCACTGTGGCCCAAGGGTGAGTATGTGGAGGGTTTAGCCCATAAGGTGCAAAGTCAATTCGAGCCAAAGATATGCCAAGAGTGTCAAGTCCTGGTATTTGTTCAACAATGACAGGAGTGACTTTTGATCCTAGTTGATTCGATGTGTTTCCAGGCAAGTTGAGTCCTGAAAAGAAGAAGTCCCTTGCTTCGGAAAGTTTTGGATCCTTGCAGAACTTCCCATTAACAAATACTGCATGAATGGCGAAATATGAGTCGACACTTGACACATACCACGCATAGCAAAAAGATAGAGAATTAAATCAGATAGTATGGTTGTTTACAAGTTATGGTTCATCACTGAGTGTCTTTAATTTAGAGTTTAGGCATGGATTTGAATACATTCAAACAAAAATAAAGGGTGAACATACCACTATTATTGGCGTCCCTGATGACTACACAGAAATCCTGAAGATGGTTAGGATCAGAGGCAGTGGCAAACGAGAAAGCCAGAACCACCAGGGAAATTGCTACGAGGATTTGACCTTCTTCCATTGCAACAAGGCAAGATTTCTAGCTTAAATTCTTCCAATTTCTATATATTGCTTGATGAGAGATGAGAAATCTTGATGGAGAACTTTGCCGATTTATAGTTGGAGTCATTGAACTAGTCTTTGCTTGTTCTTTTCTTCAATAAAATTTTCTGGACATACAGTATGGAGTTCCCTCTTCCAATACTTCACTGACTTTAGCACAGTTGTAAAGTTGCAATTGGAAGCCGGCGCTGCGGGCATTTAACTTACAATCGATTGAAATTCAGTTGACAATGGTCTGTAAATCTTGAAATTTTCAGAAGTTCTTCCACATTTATATCAGATGGGAGTTTCTTTCTATTATACATGACATTCAAAATCAAACTTCGTATTTTAAAACAAAAAGAAAATGAAAATTATAGAAAAATGTATCGAGCTGTGATTGGAATTTGGAACTCAAAGCTAAATTACTGATGAAAATATTTCATTCTCTCGAATTGTTTGAAACAGGTTGGCAATCACAAAGGTACTCATACAATTAGTGACTTCATCTCCCCAATTAAGGAAATGATATTATGGCTTTTGATCTCCAATTAAAATTTTCTATTACATTGAAATTACAGTGGTTTATGGATTCCAGGCTATTATGCCTTCTTGATAGTCTTACAACTACAATCGCATCAAATTAAAAAGTTCATTACACGTTCTAATCCATAGCAGGCCCGAACTTTAGTACAATGCCTGGGCTACACCCCTCAGCCCCGATGGGTGGGCTCCCCTCTGGACATATAAATTAACATCATGTGGGCCAATGACTGGCCAAACCCATGTATTAGATATAGATATTTAACAAATTAAAACAAATCCTTGATCTTAACCAAAAGGCCCAGACCACAAGAAGAAATGGCGGAAGGGTTAGCTTTTTTCTTTAAACGAGCCTCTCCCCCCTTCTAACGTGCGCTTCCTGATGTGGGATTTAAGTAAACCGACTATAACATGATGATTGCTGTGCTCGAATACAGAGTGAACCCTTTCTTGTTAGGCTGTTTCTAGGCCACTTATGACTTGAAGCGTGAACCAAAGCACCCCAAAGAAATGTAAAAATTCTGGCTTAGGGCCATAATTGTATCTGGGATTACTATCTATGTTCCAATATAAAGTTTAAGCGTTTTCTTTTGGAATGAAAAGTGGAAACTCCATTCCCAGTCATGAGAAAAGTGATGAGGATGGTAAAAAAACTGTTTTTGGTGGAGATTGATAGTCGGCACAAAACAGGGTTCAAATTCCATTTTGACGTAGAAACTTGAACATGCTCTTTTGTTAATCATTTTGCAATAGGCTTAACAGGGTTGCCTTGTTTGGAATAACGAAGAAGAAATAGACTTCAGGTTTAGGAGAACTCCAGTGTACATTTGCAGGTGAAACATGGTTTGCTGGTTAAAACAGAGCAGCTAAACATCTTAAATTTAATGCATTGAAAAAGACTAGCAGTGGCAGAAGCGTGACCAAAGATGAGCAGAATTGCAGTTTTGTAGATGTCAAACCAAGTTCATCAAACTGCTCACAAGTTGCAGAAATAGTTGAATTGAAATTCTCTTTTGTGCTTTTATTATTTCATGGAACCTGGGTGGCGGACAACCCATGTTGGTCCAAGAATGGAAACAAACAGCAATAGTAAGACTATGATTAAAAACAAATTTAAAAGCTTACATAAACAAATTAATTCAACAAGAAAACCACTTCCATAGCGAGCGAACTGTCAAAAGAATTATCCCAAATAAGCAGCAATTTGATGGATGTTAAAATCTGAATCAATGCGCTAATTGTTATTCTCCCAGAATCGTGACTGAAGATGTTTCACCAAATTGTTGTCCAAATGGCAACCACACCAGGATTCTGGCTGCTCAAAGAGGCAAAGGCAACAGCATTAGTTTTCCCTAGGTTGAACTGGAAGTGAATTAGACCAACCGAGAAAACTAAAACATCTCCAGGATATAGGCCTTTGTTGAAGAGACGATTTTCTGTGTTGGATGTAGCAAAGCCAACTAGGATCTCTATGGCATAAGGGCGAGTGCGAGGGGTGGTTTGGGCCACCATTGGGAGCATAGTCGATTCGGGCCAGAGAATTGCCATGAGTGTCAGGTGCTGGTATTTTGTTCAACATTGACAGGAGTGACTTTCGATCCTAGTTCGATGTCTCTATGTACAATTACACCATTCTTTATACATAGAAATGTTTGTGAATAATTAAAAAACGAAGAAATGTTTGCCTAAAAATTTTCTGCGGTTCAGGTGTCCATTTCAAAAGAACCGCTGTTACCTCTAACATCAGCAAAATTAACCCCAAAAGCCCATTAATATTCCAAGGACACTTTTAAGATACTAGAAATTTGTGGATCTCTTTGGTTCACAATTATTTTGATGTTTGTATTTTGACGAGTTTATTGGGCTTTAGACTTCCTCTTCGGTCTGGGTTTAGATAATAGCCCTGTATGGATCTTTTCTCCCAATCTATTACCAGCCCAGATATCTTGGACATTTTAGGAATTTTAGTGCTGCAAACTTAGGGGGGCCGATACCGATTTGACCATCTACTTGATCTAATCTGAGCAGAGAACCAGGGGCTACCTTCTCTACCAGCTGTCCTGCGCCTTGTGGCGTGGCCGGAGGCTTTGCCTTCGGCCAGAAAGAGAGTGGGTCTTAGAGCCTTTTTTGTTTTCTGCAGTGAAGACTGCTTGCAGTAAAGAGTCCTCAATCAAAGTCAGAAACTGAACATTGATGGGCAGTGATGGCCTTGCGGGCTTAATACCGAGTCAAAAAACTTTGGTATCTAATTTTTTATAAACTCAATGGAAGAAAATCATGAAGATGTAAAACTTAATCAAGTGATGACGGGTCTAGGATGGCAGTTTCACTGCAAGAAGCTCAGATTTTATCTTGAAAAACTATGCTGGTTTCTAAAGCAATTAAATGGGTTTAGACCGAGAAACTCTTCTCGTCTTCAAGGCATGATACGGGTGGAAATTTTTTGTATTTCTTGTGAATTTGGGCTACTAATTTTATGCTTATTCATTCAAATATTCACACATTTAGGACCCCTCAATAAAGTATTTTGAAGCTTATTACTCCATATAAATGTTGCATAGAGCCCTGTCACTGAAAACAGACTGCAATCTTTTAAACAAACTCAAGATCAACTTACAAAAAACCTTACAAAAGAAAACGTACATAAAGAACCTCATCATCACACCTCAACAAGAACTAATTTTCTATAATGAGAAAGCCTGTCAAACATTATCAGAAATAAGCTGCTATATCAAGACTTCAAATCTGTTGAAAACAATGCTCTAATTGTTATTCCATCAGAAACGTGACTGAACATCGGTAACCACACTATTATCCAGCAGAAAAGCCTTGGCTAGAACATCAGGATTAATCGGCGGTTTGGATCGGAATACGGCATTTGGAATGGTAATCACACCAGGATTCTGACTGCTAAGACCAGCAAAGGCCACTGCATTAGTATTCCCTATGTTGAACTGGAAGTGAATTAGACCAATTGGGAAAATGAAAACATCTGCAGGGTTTAAGACTTTAGAGATATGATGATTATCCAGGTCGGATGTAACAAAGCCAACATAGAGTGTGCCTTCTAGGACTACAAGGATCTCTGTGGCCCGAGGGTGAGTATGAGGAGGGTTTAGGCCATTAGGTGCAAAGTCAATTCGAGCCAAAGATATGCCAGGGGTGTTAAGTCCTGGTATTTGTTCAACAATGACAGGAGTGACTTTTGATCCTAGTTGATGTGATGTTTTTTCAGGCATGTTGAGTCCTGAAAATAAGTAGTCTTCTGCTTCGGCTAATTTTGGATCATTGCAGGACCTCCCATTAACAAATACTGCATGAAAGGCGAAATATGAGTCGACACTTGACACATACCATGCATTGCAAAAAGATAGAGAATTAAATCAGATAGTACAGTTGTTTACAAGTTATGGTTCATCACTGAGTGTATTTAATTTAGAGTTTAGGTTGAATACATTCAAACAAAAAAAAAGGGTGAACATACCACTATTATGGGCGTCGTTGATGGCTCCACAGAAATCCTGGAGATGGTTAGGATCAGAGGCAGTGGCAAATGAGAAAGCCAGAGCCAACTGGGAAATTGCTACGACGATTTGACCACCTTCCATTGCAACAAGGCAAGATTTCTAGCTTAAATTCTTCCAAGTTCTATATATTGCTTGATGAGAGGTGAGAAATCTTGGTGGAGAACTTTGCCTATTTATAGTTGGAATCATTGAACTAGTCTTTGCTTGTTCTTTTCTTCGATAAAATTTTGTGGATATACATTATGGAGTTCCCTCTTCCAATACTTCACTGACTTTAGCACAGTTGTAAAGTTGCAATTGGAAGACGGCGCTGCAGGCATTCAACTTACAATCGATTGAAATTGAGTTCACAATTGTCTGTAAATGTTGAAATTTTCAGAAGTTCTTCCACATTTATATCAGATGGGAGTTTCTTTCTATTACATATTACAATCGAAATCAAACTTTGTATTTTTAACCAAAAAAATAAAATAAAAGTTATAGAAAACTGTATCGAGCTGTTTACCTCTTATTTTAATTCAATTCAAGCTAAATTAATGATGAAAATACTTCATTCTCCCGAATTGTTTGAAACAGGTTGGCAACACTTGGTGATTGGAAGTTGGAACTCATACAATGACGAAAATATTTCATCCCCCCATTAAGGAAATGATATTATGGCTTTTGATCCCCAATTAAAATTTTCTATTAGACAAATTATAATAGTTTGATGCAGATTCCAAGCTGTATTATGGCTTTTGATCGCAATAGTCTTAACATTATTAATTCCATCATCCTTAATTAAAAATTTCAATTAAACTTTCAGTTCCAGATTTATTAAAGAATTATAATTACCATCTTTTGCCTAAAAATATATCAACTTGGTTGGGTGGGGTACGCCAGGCCCGAGCTTAAGTGTAACGCTTAGGCGACACGCGAAAGCCCCGATAGCAAGCCATTGTGGGTAAGTTTTTGGCTCCAAAACATTAATATTATATATATATATATATATATATATTATTGTTTTGAAAACATTTATATGTATTAAGCTTCAAAATATGTTGAAACTTTTTAATTGACCTTCAAATATTAATGTTTATTTGATAATGTATATATATACACGTATAACTTTATTTTACACTTTTAATTAGCTTCAAATTAATAATGTTTTTATGTACCGAAAAAATTAATGATGTTTTTTTTTTAAATAACTATAAAAAATACCAATATTGAAAAAAAAAAAAAACCTTATAAGATAAGCTAAATAATGTAATTGATAATGACCAAAGCCTGACTTATTTTCGTTAAAGTCGAGGCATGCCAAACATGGCCTGAGCTCAAGCATCTAGACGCTTCCAGATCGATGCCTCGCCGTCACGTTATATAATACAAAGCGAAAGCTGCCAAAGCTAGAAAGGAAGATCCGCACACAGTCGAATTGGCACTGATCGGTGAAATGACAAGAGGGGTTGCAAGATCACGCTACGCCAGGCAAAGCTTTCTGATAAAATTTGTTCAATTCCATTTCCATAATTACTGTTTATTGTTTACGTTGAATTAATCTTGTAAGTTTCTTTTCTGGTCATGAGCTGATCACATCTCCATTTATTCTTTCCCCAGAAAAGAGAAGATATGAAAACGCTGAAATCAAAGATGGTTTTGATAAGCAAAGAACAAAGAGCTGAGAAAAGGTTCGTCGACTGAGAAAAACTGCAAAAACACAGTTTGCTTTTGGTTCCATTTTTTTGTCTTTCTTTGGGCTGTTACCAAAACCTATGGAGCTGTCTTCACTGTAAATTTGGATTGGATAGGTTACATTTTTGGTGTTTTGAACTGTTCAAGACCCGACCAGGTGAAGTTCAATCATTACTTTGAACCAAGTTTAACTTAACACGGGAGTACTTGTCTTTGTCTCCCTGGAGAACTTTGATCGATCCATGCCGACCCAACTGGAATCAGAAATCGATGGCAATCGATTTACATGGGCTCCCAAGCCATACAAGTATAGCAGAAGAATGCTAGCTCCATATGGGGTCCCAATCCATACAATTAGTTTTAATTTTTGCAGAAAATAACATTTTTCTTTACAAAATATAATATAATTAAGCGTACTATCAACAAGGTTTTTGTCTCAATTACAAGAAAGATAGTGAGAATTTGAGGTCGAAGGGTCTTCGTTCTGGAGGATTGGTTCAACTTGGTTTATTTATTTATTTATTTTAATTTGTTTTACTTCATATAATAATTATGTTATATATTTTTAATAATTTTTTTATTCATCTGTTTTTAAGTTACATAATAAGAAATAATTTCTTCTCATATCATAAATCTAGATAGTCCTCATTTTAGAATTCAAATTGAGTTCATATCGATTTAACATTTAACATCGCCATCTTATAAATTAATTAAAATTCAATTATATATATTTCAAATTCTATATCAATTTTTTATTTAATATTTAAAAATTAAAAATATAATCAAAAACAAATATCGACGTGCAACAACACATGATCTCTAATTAATAGTCTTTTTGGTCCAATGGTCACTAATTAATATTAAGAATACGAGAAATGTTTAACAATATCAAATTCTATATGGTTTTATCTACTTCTTGGAATTCAAACAGAAAATATAGTAAGTAATTATTTTTTGGCCAATGAATTAATTTGAGCATTTCATCAAGTATCCGAACTTAATTACATGGTTTAAGAAGAGGAAAACAACATCATTAATATGTTTAAATGTATAAAATTTTAAATTAACCATTTGAACCAAAAAAAAATTCAACTTGTATTGCATACATATGAGTTAAAGTTATATTAACTTTCAAATATTGATTTAAATGACTTGATAAAAAATGGGCAAAAGAAGTTCTTAATTAACAAATCAACTTAATTTCTACAATAAATCGTAAGAGATTAAAGCCTAAACTACCTTTTTTTATCGTTATTTTTCTCAAATCAAGTAAGGAAAACAAAATACATGTACTTTTCTACACATTGATTTACATATCTATAGCTCCAATCCATACACTTTCTGGTCTTATGGGAGAGAAGGCAGGAAAAAGTTTCCATTTTCTAGTGGGAAATTGTAAGTCTCGTTGAGTTTAATTTCTTTCCTCCAATTGACACTATGAAAATTGCTGATATTTTTTAAGGATTACTAAATTCTTAAAAACTTTTATATAAAGGAAACTGAAACTTAAGGATAAAAATATTTTAATATCATTTTTAAAAAACAATTGCATGAACTAAAATTTGATATGGTTGAATTGTCATGGTAAAAAAGTAAATATATTTAGCAAATTTTTAAGTAATACTTTTAATTTACACTTAATTTTAGAAAAAATAATTTAAAAAATCTTAATTTTATATCTCCATAATCGCCCTTAATTTAATAAATATTTCTCGAGTTTTTAATTATGTAAAAAAGAATTTGGTAAGAAGCAAACCCACATGACCTTTCGGGCTCAAAATTTTGCTGTCTTTGTCTCCTCTCATATATGTCAAAGTTCTAATAATTAAGGTCTAAATATTAATATGATTTTGTAGCCCTATGTGATGTTTGAAAGCAAATTACTACATGTAACTTTTTTTTTATTATTTTGCTAATAGAAAACCAAACAAAGTAATAGCAATAATTGTTTGAGTTTTTAATAATTTTAATGTAAATTGTGTTTGTAAAAATTTTGTGCTAGTTATTTCGTTAGAAAAATTCTCCACTCAAGTATTAATTTTTTTTGTCTCATTTAAATTTTTTTGGCAGCCCTAATCCAAGCACTAGGTTGAGTTGATGAAAATCAAATTCGCAAAGATGAAAGTAGAGATTAGGAACTTGGCTAAGTCGTTAATGACAACAAATATAGAAGCCAATTAGGATGAGGATAGATTAGAATTGCTGATTACGAGAAGGAATGAGCTAATGGATAACCATTCGAAAATAAAGGCAATTGAAGCTTTTCTGATATTAGAGCTGGATTTTCTTTGAATAAAAGAATATGTTTCATTTGTACATGAAAGAATGGCAATATGAGTTATGAATTAACTCTGATAATTTTCATCTAGGGTAGATCACAACAATCCATTATTGAGTTAAGCTTTCTTTTTGTCCTGAAATCTCCCTTTTAGACCATGGTTGTTGGTTAAGGAATAATGAAATGTAGAAAGCATGTTTGTAGCATATTCATATACAAACTAAAATAAATAAAAAAGATGCTTTGAGTTTCACTACCTTAGGACAATTTTAACCTTGTCTAATATTTTCGAATCAAGAAGGAATGTGTTAGCTATAAGCCATCACAATTTGGACATGCAAGGCATATGTTGAGATATTAGACATCAGCTTTCTCTAATATTGTGGTGTGGAGGCCCACACTTAATCTGCAAAGTATTATCCGCTTTAATCTAAAAATCTCATGATTTTGTCCCATAAAAGACTCCTCATAGATTTGTGTTTAAATTTCTACATATATATATATATATCATATCATATCCACATATTTTTTTAATGTGAGTCTTACAAAAAGTACTTCATAAATTTAGGTTTAGATCTTTACATATATATCCGCATATTCTTTCAATGTGAGATTAAAGACATCACAATCTCTCATTTGACATTTAGGTTTAGATCTCTACATATATATATCATATTATATCCACATATTTTTCAAATATATTATTGGGTTTAAATTTTTACATTATATCATGTCATATCCACATATTTTTTTTATTTTCAATACATATATATCATATCATATCCATACATTTTTTTTATTTTTTCAATGTAGGTTTAGACCTCTACATATATGCCATATTATATCCACATATTTTTTCATTTTTTCAATGTAGGTTTAGATCTCTACATATATATCATATCATACCTACATATTTTTTTCATTTTTTCAAAGTGGTTTTAGATCTCTCTCTCTCTATATATATATATATATATCATATCATATCATATCCACACATACTTTTAATATAGGATTGGATTTAGATCTTTACATATATATCATATCAAATCCATATATTTTTTCAATGTGAGTTTAAATCTCTACACATATATCATATCATATCCACACATTCTTTTAATATATAATTGAATTTAGATCTCTACATATATATCATATCATATTCACATATTTTTTCAATGTGAGATTGGGGACATCACAATTTTTGGATTTAGATCTCTACATATATATAATATCATATCCACATATTTTTTCAATGTAGAATTGGCTCCAATGTAAGATTGAGGACATCATAATCTCCCTACCTTTAAAGCATGACATTTGGGTTTAGATATATATATATATATGTATATGTATATATCTATCATATTATATCCACGCAAATGTGGGATTAGAGACGTCACAATCTCTTTACCTATAAAGTTTAACGTTCTTGTCAAGCCGAATTCAACCATAAGACCAAGTCTCTTCACCTATAAAGCTTGACATTCCTGTCAAGCCGAATTCAACCCCGAGACCAAAATTATATCAGACATTAAAATTTTTGAGGTAGTTCATCACCGTGTAACACTTAATGACTTCTATAACCGTAACATTTAGTGACTCCTATGATGTAATACTCACAGATTTTGATTTAAATCTTTATATATAAATATCATATTACATTCACACATTTTTTTTAAATTTAGAATTGAGGCATCACAAATACCTTTATTCATCTTCAATGAAGATAGGTGACCGCTCTTATCATCACCACATTAGTTACCTATTTTGAATAAGAAATGAATTAGAGTAACTAGGAAAAGGAAAACATCTCTAGAGCATATTACTTTAAAATCAAAATAATTAAACTTGTATTGGGTAGGGTGCTCCGGGCTCGTGGGCAATAAGTGAAAGCCTTTATAGCAAGCAATTGTGGGTGGATTTTCTCTATAAAAATATAAATTTAATTTCATGTGAGCCAATGACCCATGTATCAAACATTAAATTGATAAAAACATATTCTACACTTGATTTTAGCCAAAAAGCTAAGAAAGGTATGTTTTAACTTTTATAAATCTTCTTCTTTTATAAGCGTATTCTTGCTCCTTACTTTCCACTTTGTGATGTGGGATTTAAGTAAACCAACTATAATGTGCCAACCACAGTATGCACATAAAAAGAAAACCCTTCCTAAATAGTGTGTTTGAGGGCTACTTATGACTTGTTATGGATCAAATTAAACCACAACCAAAGAAATGTAGAAATTGTGGATTAGGTGCCATAGTTGCATCTGGGGTTCGTATGTATGCTCTCCATTATAAAGTTTGACCACTTTTTTTTTTTGGAATGGAAACTTTATTCTCAATCATGAAAGTAATCAAGAGATAATGTTTTTTTTCTTAATCATTGGTATAATAGGCTTAACATGGTTGCCTTATTTGGAACAATAAAAAAGAAATATATTTTAGGTTTAGGAGAATTATATTGTTTGAATAATAGAAATAAGGTCTCTTGGTTGTAAAACACCAGTAAAACATCTTTAATTTAATGCATTGGAATATGACTAGGAGTGGCAGAATAGTACACCAAAGTTCAGTTGAATTTCAATATTGTAGAAATCAAACCAAGTTCATCACAACTGTTCATAATGTGCAGATTAATACACAACTTCAAGTGCATTAAGATCATTTGTAGGCCTCGTTTTTTAAACAACCATTTTTAATATCGGAGAATACGAGATATCAATATCCTTTCCTTATCAAGATAATTTATATTAACATTTAAAAATGTTTTCACAAATATAACGCACATGTTAAAACGATAGTTTAATTGTTATTTTATTAGAACCGTGATTGAAATATGTTTCATAAATAATAGTTTTAATTTTTTTTTGTGAAAAATGAAAAAAATATCTAAATCCAATTTTAAATAATTTTGTATAATAAAGCATTTTAAAAACCAAATCTAGAAGAGAAATAGCTAAAAATCATAAGGAAAAAAAAAAAAACACAGGCAAATAATACATTTGCCTACTCAAAAACCCTGCGAATAGCGGTATACGAGGCAGCTGGTTCAAATAATGGGCTACAGCGCAAATGAATCTACATTGACCGAGCAACAACACAATAATAAGTGTTTGAAATTTTGGGTTTATTATCAACGGGATAGGTCTGCTTGTTTCCCTTGCTAACTTCGAACATAAGGCCCAACCCCAACCCAGTTAACAAGCATTTTAGGCATAAGTTTGGTGGGGTGGCTGCAAGCCGGATTCAACGTTTGAGGAACCTTATGAGAACCTCAATGCAATGGCCTGTAGCAGGCTACCGTGACGTTCACATCGGCCATCCGCCCCCTTCAAAAAACTAAATCAAATGTCATTTTGGACAAAGCCCCTCTTGGGAATTTAAAATTCAAAGCCATTTTAGCGTTGTTATGTTCATCTAATTTTTGGTTAGGAGCCAATATCCTTGGTACTATGCCCCTGTTCCCAAAGGTCACCAAGCACTTTTTTTCTCTCTGTATCTTTCTTTGTGTTCTAGCTAGGCTTGTTACTATTTTGTTAGTTTAGTTTCACTATAGAATATTTAGTATTTAGTGCCTGCAGGTGGATGATAAACCAAGTTTTGCCGCCAAGGCTTATCTATATATATATTACGAAACTTGGGATTGGAAGATATTAAATCTAGTAACATTAGTAATTTTCTTTTGGTATAAAAAAGGTTGTAGTTGAAGATAGAAAGAAAATTATAAATGATAAGATTTGAATTTTAATCTTATTTTTTGTTATCTCTTATGGATAATTATACAAATCAATTGAATGAATTTTTAAATTCAATAATAATTGTAATTTATGATTATGTCTTTTTTATTTTGATCCTTCATAGTATCATATGAGCCTGCATGCATACATATAGAGAGAAGTGATTTATTTATATATTAGTGTAAAATTTTTTAATTATTGATTTTAATATATTTAAAAAATAAAATTAAATTATTTTAAGATTTAGCTATAGTGACGGAACACATTTGACTCAATTGGAATTCAAAAATTTAAAGCTAGTACACCATTCATTTCAAATTATTTAAGTGTTATTGATTTTTATGAAATTTAAAAAAGAATTTTGATTTTAATATATTTAACATTTTAATTTTTTATAAAATTAAAATTTTATGATTTTTAATATCAAAAATAAAAACTCATTAAAAATTTTAAAATATACAAAAATAAAAATTTTAGATATTTAAGAAAAGACATAATTTTAAAATATTTTTAAAAAACACAAAAACCAAAAGTCAAAAGAAGTAATACTTTATGGTTATAACTATATATTTTTCAAATACTATTTTTCTGAGCTAATCTGGCACAAGATAATCGTTAGAGTAATATCATCACTCAAATAGTTATATGTGTCACAATCATACTTTTAGACTAATCGTTGCGAGTAGTTGGTTGACTACTATGAATTTACAGGAGTCTCTCCAAATATATCAGCAATTATTGATCCACATACATTGTTTTGTTACTGTAAATTTTCTTCTAAATAAATTTATTATTCGTATTAAATATCAAAGTAATAGAAAATAAAATATATCATTTATAATTATTACATTATAATTAATGAATTACAATTTAAAATTATATAAAATTCAATAAAATTTTATATAAAATATATCACATTTATAAATAATAAATTTTTATATAATTTTTTATTATAATTGAATAATTATAAAATTATAATAAAAAATTACAAATGAAACGTTAAAATTTTTTTTGTAAACCAATGAAATTTTATCCTTTTCGCTAGGAATGAGACTTTCCAGTCAAATTTTATCCTTCATATTATTGCACCGACCAACTATGACTCTAAGCAACATTTTCTTTTCTAACTAATACTATAAAATTTACAAATTTTTTTCTTTTTTTTTTTTTAACCTTTTACTAGTTTGCTTTGTCCATAGTGTATTTTAATAATTTTATCTGAAGTAGATCGCGCGGTTGAAGGTTCGATCGACCAACAAAAAAATGTCTACTTGTAATACAGAAAAATCAAAGAGCTTTTCCTTGTTTAGCTTTTAATCCAATCAAGTAATCCTCCAAAAAAAAGTCGCCATTTTTTCTTTCTTTTTGTTATTTTTGATCGAATCTCTGTCAAATCATAGAAAATTTCTTTTGGGCCAATTTATTTCAAATATCGCTATACATTTGTTTTCAAAATGTCCTGTATGAAACAGCATAAAAAAACAAAACAAAGTAGGTAAAAAAAAAAATAGTTCCCATTTAGATATGTTTATAAATGGATTCCGATATGATCAAATTGAGTTTGATCATGATAGGATATGATATTTTAGTATTTTAAGTAATTTTGGATTTGTTTTGACTTAATTTTTTGAACATTATTTTTTGTTTAAATCCATTTTTATATATAATAATAAAGTTTAAATCAATCTAAAACATTAATATTTAAAATTAAAGAAAATAGTTTTTTTTATAAATTATTAATTGATCTTAATTTAATTAATTTTAATTGAATTTATAAGTCATTTGAGTTTGAATTCAATTTAATTTTATTAAATGTAATTTAAAATTGGATCAATTTTTATATAAAGAAAAAATTTACTTTATCATGTTGTAAGTAATAAAACAAATTAATCTTATTTATTATAAAACAATAAAGCAAATTAATTTTGTCTCATTATAATAAATTTTTTTTAAGTCTTAAATGATAAAATTCAAGTCTAATCTTATTTTTTTATGGGACTTTATTTTTCTATTCAATCTCTTTTAATGAGTTTAATATTTATGTTCAAATTTTTTAAAATTTCAAATAAATTTTCAAATTTGAACCATCATCCGACCTATGAGCAAGTCTATTCCCATTCTAATTCTTCTAAATTAAGTAGAATACATTTTCTTTTCGAACCAAAAGGTATTATATATAAATAATACTCCACTCAGATTGGGAGAGAAGTGGCTGGACTCTTACTTCAATTCAGTTGGATTAATTTCAAGTTAAATGTAATTAATTTGAAAATATTGTGCATTAAATTTTAGCATTTCTCCTCAAATTCAAGACGCAATTATTTTTAGCAAGTTTGGTAGCTAGGAATAAGTAGTAATTATTATATATATATATACATAGGTTTGAATCAATACATGCCATTCAAATTATTATACATATAATTAATTATGTAACTATAATATTCAAATTTACTAATTACAATATAAAAAAATGTTATTATGAGTAACGTACACTAGCTAAATTTTTAAATAACATATTGAAAATAAAAAAAAATTTTGAAAAGGTTTTACAAATCAATACACTTGCAAAATCTTTTAATATAACATGCTATCACATTAATTTTCTTGTAGTTATACTATCACATTTATTACCTAAGGTTGATTTTGTTGAAATAAAAAAAGTATAAATAGAAGAGGTAATAAATTAAAATATAATGATGAAATTTAATATTGACCTCATAATATACAGATAAATTTGATTTAATTATTAAAAAAAAAGTCTAATTTTGAAGTGTTCACTAAATAATTTTTTTCTTTCTCCTTTTTATGATTTGTACATAACAAAATGAAAAATATTCCAATTGCATTTTCATTTTTTTTCTCAAATCCACCTGGGACTATACTGTCTTTGAGAGAAGTGACACGTCTCATTTGGTCCACAGCCAAACTCCAAAAGATGGGTACCCACCTTGGGTGAGTACTGACCACAATTATTTAGGCATTTGGCATTTTTTGTCCAGTAAAAAATTTCAATTTTTGATAAAATTTGTAAAATTTTTTATTAAAAATAATTTAAGAAAAGTTTTAATAAAAAATTTAAAAAATAAATTAATAAAATTTAATATAAAAATTAATAATATGTAAAAAATTATTAAAAATATTATTTATAATTTAAATTTGATCAATATTTATTTAATAATAACAATTTTTCAATATTTTTATTAAAAATATTTATCTAAAAATAAATATAAAAATTTATTAAATTTTTTTCAAATTTTATACATTTGATTTTTGTAATTAGATTTTTTAATTTTTATTTTTATTTAATCACTTCTAAAATAAAATTTTATGGAATATCAAAATTTATTAAAATTTTTTTAAAATTTAAATAACTTATATAATTAAAATTTTAATTTATTAATTTTTCTTTTTATTTAATTACTTTAAAAAAAATTTACGAATTTCAACTAAATTATTTCTTCTAAATATTTTCCTTTTGTCTAGTGCTAAAGCCCGACCTTAAAATCTACCCTGTTTCTTTCTTTTTCAGTACGGAATGGCATCCCAGTTTTAGCAACTCCTTTCAGCTCATCTTGTCTTTGTGCCGAATCTTTTCCCCAAATGGTTAGAATTCTATTCCTATCATTTCAGTTCCGTTATTTGTTTTTATTCATTTATCAATAATTGTCTTAACTGTTAATGTGGCTGTTAATGAACATGGCTTTTCCTGCTTTACTTGAATATCTAACAGGTTCCCCAAGAAGTCATTACTCTGGCTCTGGAAATTGTGTTGGCAATAGAGAGACAGAAGAAAACGCTGATGGAAGAATCACTGAGGGCTAATCAACTTGCACTTCAGAAGAAGGTGAGGGAGCGTTCCATGCTTAAGAGAAAAAATCAGGATATGCTTGCAAAGGAAGCGGCAAAGAAAAAATTGTTGGATGATTGCATGGCTTTCATTGGAGCAAGTGAGAATAACGAGAACGCCCAGAATTTTGATGAAAAAGCAATGATGAAAGCTATTGAAACTATGATGAACAGTGATGGCGGCGACAAGGGAGGATTTGCCGGCAGTTACGGTAAAAAGAAAAGCTCTGGAAAAATTACTGTTTTCAGAACATGATCGATCTGGCTGGTTTGATTGGAAGCCGGTTACTTGTTCTATACAGAACGCACTATTTGACTCCTTTTATGGTTGTTGTTTATGCAGGAGACACTTGTGTTCCTGGAATCAATCTGGGTCTTGAAAGAAAAACTACGATCGATGAAAGTGTTGCTGTGGTGAACAAAGTTGCCAGTTGTGGATGCCATAATGGAGGATTTTTCGACGATCACGGTAAAAAGAAAGAACTTAAACTGGACCATGGTAGTAATTGAACCGGTTGAATCTAAGCCGATCAATTGTATGGTCGAAAACATATACTTAAACCGATTGCGGTGAAAAAAAAAAGATCAAATTTTGATATAAATTTGGTGAGGGTTTTTTTATTATTGTGTGCAGGAGAGATTAATGATGCCTCTGATAACGCTCAGAATCTTGGTGAGGAAGACAAAAAGGCTGCTGTTGATGAAACAAACGGTGACAACGATGAAAGCAACAACGCTGGTGGTTATGGCGGCAGTTACAATGGGAACCGCCGCAAGTAAGATGGCAGTTGGTCCATTAATAACTTTTATATCATATCATCTACGATTCTCTTTCCTAATATTATAATTATGCTAAAGCACTATCATATTAAAATACTTTGTGAAGGGAATACCATGTTCATAAAAATTTCCCCATCCCTATAAATTGGGATTTTACTATTTAAAAAATACTCTTATTTTAATAAAAATTTTGAGTTATTCTCAACTATGCATGTTTCAATAAGTTTGGATTGACTTGAACATTAACTTTAAGTAAAACTCGTGATGTGAGTGCTTAATTTGAATTAGTAAATATTTACCCATTTCAAGATCTAAAAATAAATCTTCATTTGAAGCATCACATGTGTTGTATGACAGGCTTCAAATGTCAAATAGCAAGACTACTTAATATAAAAAATATAACAGTTTTGCCTCTATTTTTCAACACCAAAACAGTAAACCAAATAATCAATAAAGAATACTAATGAGAAATCAGTTGATGTATCAAAAAATAATAATAATAAAAGAAGTGAAGGTGGATGCTTAATCTTCTCAAGTGAATTAGCTGGTTGGTTGCTATGTATGTATGTACAAAATCTAGCCCTACGTATATATTTGGTGTATATATAATTGCCGTAGGGTTTTTTTGTTCTAAAAATACATTTTTTATATACTAAGATATTAGATTCGCAGTCAACTTAAATTCAATTTTGACATTAAATATTGGATATGAGGTCCACAACTAATTTAATCTAGTATGATTCCAATATTTGATATCAAAGTTTGATTCAAATTGATGGTGGATTTAATATTTAATAATTAAATTTTTATTATTTTAGTTTCAGATTAATGTTGATATTTGAGACCGTGTGAGAATTTGAATCGAGAATTAAAATTTTAACACTTTAATAATATATTATATGGCTGACTAATTTCAAATTATTTATACAACAAAAAAACATAAAGCTTCAGATCTTACTTTTCAGTTGTCCAACCAAAACAACATAAATATTCAGATCTTATTTTTATTTATTTGCCTTGTTGAAAGTTCATCCAACTCGATTGCTAGCTTTTTAATTTGCTTGTTTTAATATAAATTTATTCATGTTTTGTTGTCTGTTCAATACGGGTTGATGCACTTAAGGCCATGAAAGCTGAGTTAGACAATGATGTGAGAGGAGAAAATACATACATGGAAGCAAGGCTATTGAATTTGACTAGCAGGTTTAGGAGGCTAAGAAAGTTAAGAAAGTGTTCGTTTATTGAAACGCATAGTTTTGGCGTGGAAAATAATAGGAGGCATATTTTCGATGTGAAAAGGAGATTAGGAGGGGGATGGCGTGGATTATTTACAGCCATAGGTTAGTGTTTTACTGGAATTTTCCATGAATTTTTTATAGTGGGGAGAATGCTCTCCCGTTATAAACACGGCACCCCTAGGCCACTTTCTAAAATTATCTAAGACAAATTAAAAAAAAAAGTAAAAATATATACCAAACTAAATTTAAGTGTCAAACTTATGTTACTAATAGAAAAATACAGATAGAAACATCTTTTTATTGATTAATTTATTAGGCACATATATCAGCACGTATTAAAAAAGTAACATTTAAAAAATTTGATCGTAAAATAAATAATAATTAGTGATGACATACATATTTGATATTATTTAGAGAGCATAATCTGAGCAGTTGGGATTGGGATCTAAGTTTCCATCTAGCTATATTGTTCTAAAAAACGAAATTATTAAAACTAAATGTTGGTCAAGTAAGCTGATCAATGAAATTAGTCGCAAAAATCAGTCATTGCACCATGCCTGCTCTCCTCTAGGAACATGTGTTTTGGATAAGAAAATTAACTAAGACCACGTCAAAAATGTTGGCAGCCAGCATTTTTATAATTAAAAGTCATGAGAAAAAAAGTCTCCTAATATAAACCTAAATCATGGGCCCCAAGGCTGGGTAAAATCCCTATTGGCCCATCCTGACTAACTTGAAAATTATTAATCCCAGACACAATCTTTATATTTAAATTCTTTGTGAAAGAAGTACCATATTCGTAAAAATTCCCCCATCCCTGTAAATTGGGTTGATATCAGGTGGCCCAATTGTCCAATGGAGCTGTCACTGAGGAACGAGTCAGCATTTTTTTCACCAATGCCATAAACAAATTCCAGTGCCTGCAATTAGCACCAAGTAATACCCTATAGCAGTAGGCTTTCGGTTGGGCCTTGTAACACAAATCCAAAGAATTTGGATCAATGTTGGCTTGGACGAGGAACTTGTCCCATCAAGTCAAGAGTATTTCACATATTCCAAATATTTTAATTTTTAATATTTTTTTAACGATTACAAAAATTATAATACTTTATATAATTCGTAATTGTCGATGCAACTTCTTTTCGAGCGAAAGAGGAGCTTGCTAGAGACTGAAAAGGATGATAGATGCGATCTAAAAAGACTCAATAATTAAACGAATTTGGCATCGGACTTTCTTTAATTTTAAGCAAATCTCATTGTTTCCTAATAAAGACTTGCATTTACAATATGAAAATAATATAGAGTTAATTGGGTGGAGCTTAGTCTACAAGTAAAATTCATTTTAAAAAATAAAAGAAGCCTCCATAATTTAAATAAAACTAACCCAAAGAGAAAACAATAAAAGAAAGAAGAAAAATATATATTTAGAAGAGTGTTTAGTTTTCTTTTGTCAATTGTATATTAATTAGTAATCTCTATACGTTGTGTGGAAATATATTTATACATATATTTTTTTGAATTAATACTCAAATTTTTATGTCAAGAAAATATAAAATCTTTAAATTTTAACAATTTAATATTAGACCATAGAAAACTTAGTTTGGTACTAAAAATTTATAAGGTAAATTAAAGACTTTGACGAATGGATGCCAATGAAAGAAAAATTATTTATCATTACGAAGAACCTCTCTAGAGTAGTGAAAATTGGTCTTCTTTCGGCAAAATACAATGTATGATGATGTTTAGACAATTGATAATGTTTATCTATCCCAATTAAGAGGTCCATCATTTTATTGTTATTGATTATATGGGTCAGATGTAAAGTTGTTTCATCCAATATTGTTAATTTCATTTTGATATTAATTGTAGTATCACACTTGATATCGGAAAATACCAATAATTTTTGTTGATTTTTAGTTAATTTCAATAAATTTTGATGAATTAATTTATTTCGATTATAAATATGAAATATGTTTTATTATTTAATTATTTTTAAATTAATAAAATAAAAGTAATTGATAAAATAGTTTTTAAAATTTGAATTTCTTTTTTTAACAAAAAATTGAGATTTAATTCAATTATATCATAAAATTATCTTTAATACTAACATTTAATAAATTCAAAATTTAAAACCTAATATTGATAATATTTTTATTTTAAGGCTACGATATTTTTTATATAAAAAAAACCCAATGATGAGAATAACACTTTGGGATTGTTTCATGTGGACTCATAATGTAAATTCTAATGCAGGTTTCAAGTGTTTATCATCCTCTTGTTTTGCTCGATGCATGTGCCTATATTTATGATTTATAAGTGAAATTGTTAGTGTGATTAACTGTTTCTACATATATGTTTGAAGTATTTTATTTTGATTATTGATTTTAGCAAAGCGTTATTACCCTCTTAAATTTACGATGAAAGAGAATGGCAAAGAAGATTGAACGTAGACCCTATTCAGAGGTTGAGTATTCTCAAGATTGAAGCTATTCAAATCCCCGTGAAACTGTTTTTTGTCTTTATTTATTTTTATTTTGTAGAAAATAATTTTATTCTGTTTTTTGTTTTTTAAAAACTTTTTAGTAAATAAAAATAAAAATTATTTTTTAGCAATGCAAAAATAATTAATTAAATAAAATATTCAATAATATTATTATTAATTGCATCTAATTATAAATATAATATATATTAATTAATTAATAACATTGAAAAGTATTTAAATATGATAATTTATAAAAAATAAAAAATAATGAATATCCTTTGTTCTCATAATTAAAATTTTTTTTTTATTTATTTTTTTAATTACCAAACACATTTTTACTTATTTATTTAAATTAAAACAAAAAAAAACTTAAAACCGAACACCAACCATCTAGATAGTCTAAGTTTAGAACTTCATACCGTAAGACAGCTACTTTTAGAGTTCATCCGCGTTCGAAACGATTTAGACGGCTTTGTTTTGCTTGCATTTGAGGGATTGATATTTTATGATTCTCTTTGAAAGATCTTTTGTCTTCTACTAAGTAGGATGGAACTGGCGATCTCTCTCTCCGCGTAAAAGTGGTCGTAAGAGAAATTGGGCCCCACCAACTGCTACTTCAAGCCATATATTAATACTACCCTCTTCCTTCCTCATCCTCTCTCTCTTTTATTTTTCCACGTAATCTTATCTTGTGTGGGCCTTTTTCTTAAAAGTTTTGATACCATAATCACGCCATGGTCCACAAACATTAATTTTATATGATCTACATGTAGACGACAAATTTTCTGGGTGATAAATTATACTTTGGAAGATAAAAAATTTGTAAAAATTCCAAAGTTTTATCAACTCATATCCTCTTTCATTTATACCTTTTCTTTTTTAACAAAATCAACCTTAGATAATAAATGTGATTAGTAATTAGTAAATTTAAGTATTACGGTTGCATGATTAACTACATATACATAGTAATTTGATTACCTTGTATTGATTCAAACCTATGTATATATAATCAAATTTAGAATAATTAATTCTTTATTAATCAATATTGTTTACGATATGATCGCTAGAACCTTGAAGTTAATTTGCATGGATTTAATTTTTTCTCTCGACGATTTAAAACACATAATCTCTCAAATTGATATAATGCATTAAGATTTTATTTTTGAAACATTTCCAATGAAAATATATATACTACTCCAATTAAATCCTTATGAATCATACATAAAAAAATAAATAATCCTTATAAAACTATTATACTTCATATCCTTCAATTTTATCTTTTAACCTTGTTTATAATTTTTTTTCATTTATGAGAAATCATTATTAAATACTTTTGATAACAATAATTTTTATTACTTTTTAAATAACTAAGATGCTAATTACTTCATTTTTAGATTTAGACTATGTATTGAAATTAATCTATAATTAAAATTTAAATATCTTAAACCGAGTTGGAAGATAAATGAAACATTAATTAGAAAAAAAGAGAGTAGGACATATTAATTATATATTTATTTAAAAGTAAATGTATCACCTTAAAATTAAGTAGTGAAACAACAAAAATAAAAAAATAAAAATTATAATATTAAATTTCAATAAATTATATATTGATATTGTAATATATAGATAAATTTGATTTTAATTCTTAGTCTTTGATTGTTTCACAGAAAAAACTTTCAAAAAATAATTTTTAAAAAATATTTACATTTTAAAATTGAAAGAAATTTTCTGTTGTTTGGATAAATTAATGAAAATTTTTTTTTGTTATTTGTTTTTTTCTAAAAAATTTATTTTTTAAATAATATTAATATAACAATTAAAATATTAAAAATTATTTACTATTAAAATTATTTATTATTGAAATTATTACTATTAAAAAATAATTATATTTTGATAATATTTAATATTAAAATATTATGTTAATATAATTAATACTTAAAATAAAACTATTTATTATTCTTTTATATTATTTATTAATATATTATAATATTATTTATTAATAATATTTATTAACATATTATATTATTTATTATTCTTTTGTATCATTTATTAATATATTATAATATTATTTATTAATAATATTTATTAATATATTATATTATTAGTATATTATTTATTAATGATATACTATACGGACTCTAGAGAGAGAGAGAGAGAGAGAGAGAGTGGAGTGCTTCTACCTCTCAGTTTTTTAACTCACTCTTTCACCCTCCTTTTGGTTCCATGGAATTCGAAGATATTACATTTAATTATGTTTATAATTATATGTTTCCTGGTACTGAATTTTCCTAGCTAGCCCCTGGCTTTCCAAATGGATGCGAAATTCTGTTTTCTCTTTTCACAAGTTTTTTCACTTTTTTTTTTCGCTTTCACACTTGGCCCTTTTGGTCAAATTTATTTGAACTATTGACTCTTTCAAGTTACATTAGTATTGGGTTTCAATTTTTTATTTTAATAAATTAAAATTGAGTTTAATTGAAATTCGAATAACTCAATATAATTTTTTTTTTTAAACTGAATTTGGGTTTTGAGTTTTTTCAAATTCAAGACACAATTAATTTTAGCAAGTTTGGTAGCTAGAAATAAGCATGACCCAAAGAAAAGTTTGCCAGATTTTTTTTTAACAACCATGACATTATGTTAATATGAATGAGAAGCTTGAATCTCAATATGAATTATGATATTGAAAATCTTTTTCATAGATTTTTTGTCTATGTAAAAATTGAGAAACATATTTTGACAGATAATTTTGTCAAAGAATGTCATTTTTTATAAAAAATCTTATCTATGGAGGTATCTTGTAATTGAGTTCACACAATAGTTTTTAATTTAAAATGTTTTTAGTTACGTGTTAATGCAGGAGAGTAAAATCAAATAATTATTAGTATATTTATATGATATTAAATTCTTAATTTTAATAATAAAAAATTAATCTCTAATAATCTTTAATATTAAAAAAAAAAAGAAACAGAGCATAATAAAGACTCACCATAGATGTTACCTATCATTCGTTAATTGCACTACTAGCGTTTAGTACTTCAATAAAAGGAACCAAATTCGTAGAAAGTATAAAAACTTAGATTGCAAGAAGATATAAAATAAGATTGTTCCAAGGTATCATGACCCTACCATATCTGCTAGCTTAAGGTAAGATGAGTGACCATTAACTAACCTTTAGTTTCAGGGACCAGTCAATTGCTGTCTCTGTGACTCTTGTTGGGCTAAATCCACCGTACTTGGCATTGCCTGTCCAGCACAAAGCCAACTCTCTTTTGATAATTGTCAAAATATGTTGCTAACTTGTTAAGTCACCAATCATAAATGGGCTTCAGGTGAAGTCTTGAAGACGATAATTAGTTTGCCATTGTTCCATTGTGACAAACATGTATACTTAAGATACCTAATGAACATTATCTAGAACTTTGAATTCTGCTTTTTCCAAATTGAAAATAAAATAATCTAAAAGAAATGAACCCTTTTTATTTTTCCACATAATCTTGTCAACTTGTGTGTGTCTTTTTCTTATAAGTTTTGATACCAAAAAGACATAGTCGACAAACATTACTTTTATCATCTTAAAAGTTACACAATTACATATTTGCATATATATATATATATTTGCATGTATTGATTCAAACCTATGTATAAATGATTAAATTTAGAATAATTAACTATTTGTTAATCAACATTTTTTTATAATATAATTCCAAATATATTCAAATTAATTCACATGACGATCTTAAAGTATAATATTCCAATTTGATTTGATGCATTAAGATTTTATTTTTGAAATACTTCCAACGAAAATATATATTATTTAAATCCTTATGAATCATACCTAAAAAAATTAATCCTTATGAAATTATTATACTTACATATCTTTCAATTTTATCTTCTAGCCTTATTTGTAATTTTTTTAATTTATGAGAAATCATTATTAACTTCGGGTAACGATAATTTCTATTACTTTTTAGTACTTTAAGAATTAACTACTTCATTTTTAGATTTAGAACATGCATTGAAATTTATCTATAATTAAAATTTAAATATCTTAAACCGGGGAAGATAAATGAAACATTAATTAGAAAAGAAAAAAACGAGTAGCACAAACATTAATTATATATTTATTTAAAAAAAAACATGTATCACCTTAAAATTAAGTCGTGAAATAACAAAAAATCAACAAAATTAAAAAATACAATATTAAATTTCAATAAATTAAAATATAATGATCAAATTGAATATTGATCTTATAATATACAGATAAAATTGATTTTAATTCCTAGACGAAATTTTAATTTTGAAGTGTTCACTATAAATAATTTTTTTTCTTTTCCCTTTTTATGATTTGTACACAAGGAATATGAGGAATATTCCAATTGCATTGTCATTTTTTCGTCTCCAATCCACGTTGGATGGTACGGTATCACTCGTGTCTCTTTGATGAAACTGACACGTCTCACCTGCTCCACAGCCAAATTCCAATAGATGGGTCCCCCGCCTGGGCCGAGGCTGGCCATAAGCCTATAAATTCTAGGTGATTTGGCACTTTTCATCTCGCGATAAAACCCGACCTTAAAACGCTCCCTCTGTTTATTTCTTTTTCAGCATAAAATTTATTCTCAGTTTAGCTACTGCTTCTTTTTCCCAAATGGTTAGATTTCTATTCCTATGATTTCAGTTCGGTAATTTGTTTTTATTCATTTATCAACAACAATCTTAACTTTTTATGTGGCTGTTAATTAATGAATATGGACTTTTCTGCGCTACTTGAATATCTAACAGGATCTCCAAGAAGTCAGTGTTGTGGCTCTGGAAATTGTGTTGGCAAGAGAGAGACAGAAGAAAAGACTTATGGAAGAATCACTGAGGACTCGTCAGATTAAACTTCAGGAGAAGTTGACGGAGCGCTCCATGCTTAGGAGAAAATATCAGGATATGCTTGCAAAGGACGTGGCAAAGAATAAATTGGTTGATGATTTCATGGATTTCATTGGAGCAATTGAGAACAACGAGAATGCCCAGAATTTTGATGAAAAAGCAATGATGAAAAGTATTGAAGCTATGATGAACTGTGATGGCTTCGACAACGGAGATTCCGCCGGCAGTCACGGTAAAAAGAAAGAACTTAAATAAAAAAATATATGCTTTGAAAACTTGACCATGTTGGCAATTGAACCGGTTGAATAAAAGCCGATCAATTGTACGGTCAAAAATATATAATCGAACCGATTTCGGTGAAAAAAAGGAATAATCAATTGTCTGTATACATTTGCTGAGGGTTTTATGGTTGTATGTGCAGGAGAGATTAATGATGCCCGTGCTAACGATCAGAATCTTGGTAAGGAAACTATGAAGGCCGCAGCTGATGGAACCAACGGTGATGAAGGCAGCAAGGCTGATGATGGGCCCCATTAATATACGAACTACTTTATATCTTCAATTTAATGTCCTGTTGTGTTCCGGAATAATTGATTAAATTTATACATTAATTTAGATATAATTTTATTGCAAGTGTTGCTACCTCAGTTAGTGAGTGATGGTATTGGAGTTGATTTTAAGGTTGAAAATTTAGAGTTCGAACTTCAATAGGGTAGCAAGAATTTGTGAACTTAAATGAGAAAAAAAAGTAATAGAAATGGAAAGAAAAAAAAGAGAAAAATATTTAAAATGAAATAGAAAAAAGCACATATGGTATACCAAAACAGTACAAATGGAAGAAATTAAAAGAAAATTTAAATAAATTAATAAGTTTTTTTCAATAAAAAATTTGCAATTAATGGAAATAAAGATATAAATATGTTACGAAAGCTCATTCAATATCATGTATTTAATTCTAATTCTATTTCTTTTTTATATGATTAAACTTACAAATTAACAATCCAGCAACCTTTTAATGTATAACATTTACCTATATAACACACCTACAGAAAAAGAAAAAAAAAATCATAAGCACCCACAAAAGTCAATATAATGTTGAACGACAAAACCCAACTTGTATGAATGGTGAAGTTTGAACATAAAATTTAAAAGCTTCAAAGTCTCCTCTTTGATATCGACACAAAAACGTACGTCGTCGTCGTCATCATCATTATTTTATTTTCAAGCATACCAATTTAATTATAATAAAAAAAAGTTTGGCTTGAATTTAAAAGCTTCAAAGTCTCCTCTTTGATATCGACACAAAAACATATGTCGTTATCGTCATCATCATCATCCTTGTTTTATTTTCAAGTACACCGATTTAATTATAATAAAAAAAGTTTGGCTTGATTTTTAGCTTTTTGATCTAATTCTTAAAAAGATTTAAAAAAATATATGAAGTGTGAATTTGAACCCCACCCTTCTCATCCTCCTCTATCCCTTATATAATAAACAAAACAAAGTTTGGATTGCCTTAAACGTTACCTTAATTAAGACTCATGAGTGTTTACTTTTCAAGAATTAGTAAATTCAATTTTGATATTAAATACTGGATATTAGTTCCCAACTAACTTCAAATCAAGTCATGATTTCAATATTTAATATCAGAGTTTGATTAAATTTGATTTAATATTTTGATTTTTGAAACTGTATGAGAATTTGAATCATAATTATGAGAATAAAAAATATAGTATTTTAATAATAAATTACACTGTTGGCTAATTTCAAATTATTTATACAACCAAAAAAGCATAAAGCTTCAGATGTTATTTTTCATTTATCCAACCAAAATTCAGATTTTTTTTATATCGATAAACGTTATTTGGCTCGTTGAACGTCCATCTAACTCGATTGCTAGTTTTAATTTGCTTGTTTTAATATAAATTTATTCATATTTTTTTGTCTGTTCAATACAGGATAATGCACTTGAGGCCATGAAAGCTGAGTTAGACAATGATGTGAGAGGAGAAAATACATGCATGAAAGCAATGCTATTGAAATTCTGACTTGCTTTTGAATGACTTCAGTTTAGTAAGTTATGAAAAGTAATCGTTTATTGAAACGCATAGTTTCCGCGTGGAAAATAATAGGGGGCCTAGTTTCGGCGTAGAAAAGCCACAGGTTAGTATTTTAGTGGAATTTTCCATGAATTTTTTATAGTGGGGAGAATGCTCTCCCCTTATAAATACGGCACCCCTAAGCCCCTTTCTAAAATTATCTAAGACAAATTAAAAAAAAAAAAAGTAAAAATATATACCAAACTAAATTTAAATGTCAACACTCATTTTATTCATAAAAAATACAAATAAAAACATCTCTTTATTGATTAACTTATTAGGCTCTCGAATCAGCATATAATAAAAGAATGACATTTAAAAAATTTGATTATCAACTAAAAAATAATTAGTGAAATCTGACATGCATACATTTGATATTACTTAGAGAACATAATCTAGACAGTTGAGACTAAGATCTAGTTTTTCATCTGCTTATGTTGTTCTTAAAACACAAAATTATTAAAACTAAATGTTGGAAAAATAAACTGATCAATGAAATTTATCGCAAAATTACGTAAGGTTGAACAAATCCCAAGTTCCAAACCAACTCCTATTCCTGCCTGCAAACTTGTTGGCTTGTGTTATACGGTCATTAATTTTTCTCTGCAAAAATCAGTTATTTTCACCATGCCTGCTCTCCTCTAAAGCACGTGTTTTGGATAACCATAAAGTGAATTAAGACCATGTCAAAAATATTTGCAGGCAGCGTATTTATGATTAAAAGTTATGAGAAAAATCTCCTAATAAAATCCTCAATCAGGCTAGGTAAAGCTTGTGTAAGCTCATGTAATAATATAAATGATACATTAATATTTATAAGTTATTTGAATTTGATTAGAATAAAATTAGAATTTGACTCGATTATTATCGAATTGAGCTTAAACTCGAATAGCTTAACTTATCGATCGAGTTGAGTTCGAATATTCTTAAATTTGATTTAAATACCTCATGAGCGTAATTAAATTTTTAATTTTAATATATTTTATTATTTTAATTAATAAAATATTTTAACTTCGAGTTCAAGTACAAATAATTAAGTTTTTTATCTAATATAAGAATTAAACTTATTTTTATATGTTAATTGAGTCTAATTGAATAAATTCAAGTAGCTCGATTTATATTTTAAGTTGAGTTCAAACTAAAAAAATAAAATTCGATCGAATTCAAACTGAATTTTGAATTTCAAATTTTTAATCGAGTTTAAACTTAATACTATATTAACTTGAATTCGATCGATTATACCCTTAAATCCATGCACGACTAACTTGAGAATTATTAATCCGAGACACAACCTTCTATATTAAAACGGTTTGTCAAAAAATACCATATTCATAAAAATTCCCTCATCCCAAATTAAATTGGTTTTCACAATTTAAAAACTACTATTATTTTAATAAAAATTTTAATTTATACTTAGCAAGGCATGTTTCAATCTAATTTTAATTCACAACTCCATAAAATACCATATTAATTCTTTCTACGCCACCACGAGATAAGACTTAAAAAATTGAGACTTGGATTGTATTGCAACTGGATTGGGCAACGCACGAGTGCCCCGGAGTCCAATTGCAAGTTACTGTGGGGAGGGCTCTACTCGTAAAGAAATAAGGTTAATATCAGGTGGGCCCATGGTCCACGAATATGTATTAAGTTGATATAAGAGCCTAACCTTTTTAAATGCAGAAAGGTATACTTTTACCATTCTAAAGCCCACTCATAATTAAACTCAATCCAAATAAACACTCTCCAAACAAAAATCAATCTCAACTAAATCTATGAGCTCGGTCTCTAAAATTTCTCAAATCAAAATACAAATAATCAAACACCAAAAATCAAACCTTCACCACCATCACTTCACTCCCAAAACAGAACCTAAAATATTTATAACTAACATATCAAAAGCACAGTCTACTGCTTTCCTCAAAGCGACCACACCTGACAGATAGATTTTTCTTAACTTTCAATGTAACATGAGGAACATATGTGTAGTTAGTGGAATGAAAAGTACATTTGGAAAATGGGAACGAAAAAAGAACATGTGGTGATGGATGATGCATGTAGTGGTCCTGGTGGAGGTCGGTTTGAATGGGAGATATGGTTGGTGGAAAAAAACCTTTGTTTTATGCTTTGCAGGAGACAAGGGATGCTTTCACCTATGCAACATCAAAACCCAATTCTATGTTATTACAGTCCAAAGTGAAAGGTTGACGTTTAATCTTATCCAGTGAATTAGCTGGATGGCGGCTATGAACGTATGTACAAAATCTAGCCTTGGAATATAGGAGGAGGGATGCCGTGGATAGCTTAGTGTTTTACTGCAATTTTCCATGAAATTTTTTTTTTATAGTTGGGAGAATGCTCTCCCCTTATAAGTACCGCACCCCTATGCGACTTTTCTAAAATTATCTTAGAAAAAAAAAGTAAATTTAAATGCAAACTAAATTGTTCTAAATTAAAAAAAGTAATATATATGTATATACCAAACTAAATTTAAATGTCATACTTACTTTACTCATAGAAAAATACAAATAGAAACATTTCTTGATTGATTAACTTATTAGGCTCACAGATTAGCATGTAGTAAAAAAATAATATTTAAAAAATTTGATTGTCAAATAAAAAATGATTAGTAAAGGCTGACATACATATTTGATATTATTTAGAGAGCATAATTTGGGCAATTGGGATTGGGATCTAATTTTTTATCTAGCTATATTGTTCTAAAAAACAAATTTATTAAAACTAAAATTTAAGCAAATAAATTGAACAGTGAAACTCGTGGCAAAATTACATAAAGGCTGAACAAATCTCAAGTCCCAAATCAATTCCTATTTAATTGAAATGATTTTTTAACTCAAAATACAATGCCTGCAACCTCTTCTTTTATTTCTGAACCTCTTTTGTTAAAAAAAAAAAAAAATTTGAATCCCCTCTTCCCTAAAATAAAATAAGATACCGATTGCTTTAGTCTATAATCACTATAGTAGTCTAATCATTCTTACCTATTTTCTGCAGATAACAGGCCACAGTAGAGGTCCATTTTTACTTATCCAACCCACATGCTCCTCCTAGATAAAAATTTGGGAGAAAACAGGTGAAAGAGATCATGGAAAACGGCAGCATTAAAACCAGGAACATCAGACACTGTTTTGTTAATTTGCATCAAGATTGCCCTTTGTCTTTTGGGTTACTCAAATCCCATTTACGCCTCTAACCAGCATAAGGAAAAGCATAGAAAGAAAGATGATGCCAGGATGTGAAGTGAAATAAAGCCGAAGTCAAGACCCCAACTCGATAATTACAAATTTGGCCCTGTCTTAGGCCTCCTCTTACTGAGAAGAAAATGACTTGATAAAGAGTTTGCCATTTCCTTGCACTAAAAAAGGAAAAAGAGTTTGTTATTTCCACGTCTATGTGTGTTTGGAACAAGCAAGGCCTGCTCCTACGACATGCTTTGCCTCATTTGCAAAAAAGAGGCGCCAAAATAACAATTTCCCTTTATAAAGTACCTACTAATGTTTTTCAGCCTGAGGTACACTTCCACTCATCAACAACCCATTGGAAACCCCATCTCTCTCTAGGCCGCTT